GATGATTTTGCTTCTGCATTAAGAAAGAAACAGTCTGCATCCTGGGCTTTAAAATGGTAAGAAGAACTTTTTTAACAAAATCTTAATCTATTCTAACAGCTTAGGATAAGCCAAGCATTTTTGTGTCATCATTAAGGCCAGAATTTTATATGTAAATTATACATAAAAATTAAAATGATGTTCTTTTGATATTAACCTTTTAGATAGGTATTACATTGGTCTTATGTTGTAAACTTAACAGACCTAAATTTCATTCATCATTTTCAGTTTTTTTCAAAAAGAATCATTCTAGTATGTGTCCTATAAATATTTGTTATGAAAATAATCAAAGGCAAAGTGCTTCTTAGTTATATTGAAAGTATTTTTGAAAGTAAATATTTGCCACATTTGAAAACATTTGCCTTTAAGATATATTTATGCTAACGTTTTATTTTTTTAAAGTGTGAAGATTGGAGTTGATTATTTTAAAGTTGGACGTCATGTGGATGCTATGAATGAATACAATAAAGCTCTGGAAATAGACAAACAAAATGTAGAAGCTTTGGTAGCTCGTGGAGCATTGTAAGTGAATTATGGATATAAGGTGGTTGTAACATAAATGTGAAAAAGATTTTTAAATAGTTCACAGGATTAAATTTCTCTGATTTTACTTAACATCTCTAGATACGCAACCAAAGGAAGTCTGAACAAAGCAATAGAAGATTTTGAACTTGCATTAGAAAACTGTCCAACTCACAGGAATGCAAGAAAATACCTCTGCCAAACACTTGTAGAAAGAGGAGGGCAGTAAGTGTCAGATTTTGTTAATAGATTTCATATTCAGTTAACTACTATAAAAGCTTGAATTTAAAGGAAGTAGCATCTGTAACTCCCTCAGTTCAGAATCACTGAAATATAATTACTGAAATAATGGTTGGCATAGTAGTTGTATCATTAATATTTAATGACTAATAGACCAGTTAATTTATAGATTATTTTGAAGAAATGTAATATTTAAACATAAGTAATTTGGAAATAGCCTGCTTTAATAATTAAAATACCAAGGCTGGGAATTTAGCTCAGCGGCATAAGCACCTACCGCAGTTGCAAGCGCATGGTCATGAGTTCGATAAAAAAATAAAAAATTAAAATCCCAGTTCATGATTAAGAGTATCAGTTTGCTATTAATTTCTTGAAAACAATAGATAATCTAGCCAGGGATTTAGCTCAGCAGCATAAGCACCTGCCTGGCAAGCGTGAGGTTCTGAGTTTGATCCCTGGTACCAAAAAAAAAAAAAAAAAGGATCATCTCATTTCTGTTTCATGAATATGACTAATTCCTGTTTGAATGACAATTCTAGGTTGAATCATCACAAATTCCAAATTAATGAGTTTTATATACTTTTTAACTGATATGAACTTCTCCCGTAGTGATTGGTTTACTTTCTCAAAGTAGATCGCTAGTGCCTGTTGAGATGTAGTTGTCTTATTTACTACCTGTATACTGATTATCTGAGTGAGCATCAACCAGTTATTCCAGCCAGAACTATCAGCTGTCTTCATTTCTTGTGTTCCTACATCTATTCTGCCAACAAAAAACTGATCCCATTCATTACTTTTTCGTATTATGAGCTAAAACCATTTTTAGAGTCCTTTTACTCCTTTTGCCTATATTTTTCAGATTTTACTTTTTTACAGTGTAGATTTGTGAGCTTCATATCTACAAATCAGAATGTGCTTATGTGTGTACGTGTGCTTATTTCCAAAGAACTTTAACAGTGGATTTTTTTGTTTGAAAAAAATTATCTGTAGAAAGGAAAAATTTCCATAGTATGCTAGGAAAAACCAGCCTATATAGATTTCTGTGCTAATACTCAAGATTGTACTAAATTTATAGATACCAGTTTATCCTGTGTTTTCTTATATTTCTACAAAAGTGTGCCAGTACTATTTTGTTATTAGCAATAGATTTTCATTTATTCTTTGTGATCACTATCAAGTAATTCTAAGAAGCATGATTTATGTATTGTTCATTTTAGAAAATAATTTCCTAATCATGGCTTTTCTGTACAAGTTCTATCATAGAAACCTGTGGCCTACATACATATGTATTTGGATGCTTTTGTTGTTTTTACAAAAGTGCTAAATCTTCCCTTCAAACTCAGGTTAGCAGAAGAGGAGAAGTTTTTAAATGCTGAAAGTTACTATAAGAAAGCTTTGGCTTTGGATGAAACTTTTAAAGATGCAGAGGATGCTTTGCAGAAACTCCATAAATATATGCAGGTGATTCTTTATTTCCTCTTAGAAATTTAGTGATATTTAAAATTAATGCCAAAATACAATTTTCTTCTAGGAACAATATTCTAGATTTCCTAAGTGCAGCATTATGAAAGTTTCTTTTTAAATATAGTGTTCCAAATTAGGTTTGACATTATTTCATAGTGCTTCTTCCTTTTCAAGTAGGAAAGTTCCTAAATACATCATACGGTTTTGAGAACTGTACTTTGTTGCGAGCTTATGTAGAACTATATTTGTAGTGGCTGGGGATTTAGCTCAGCGGCCTAAGTGCCTGCCTTGCAAGCAGGCAGTCGTGAGTTCGATCCCTGGTATCGATAAAAAGGAAAAAGACAAAAAAAAAAAATTTGTAAAGTTGTCACTATTATTACTGAGCTAATTATGAAAGCCTTTTTGAGACATTTAACATGCTTTTTCCTGTAATACTGATGATGATGTTTTCTCATGCATTTTCTTCTGAATTGGACCATTGCTGCTGTGTCTGTGACATCTGGTGCTGCTCATCCCCATCCACAAACTGGAAAATGATTTCTTATGTAATCATGCATCCAACTGGGCTGTGCTATTTTTAAAATGGTTTGTATTTGAACATGGTATCCCCAATCCCCCCAATTCACTTTAATGGAATGTGTTTATTTGGATTTACTTGTAAACTTTGTGTCCTTTTTAAATTTTAAAAAATAATTTTTCATGTTTTATTTTTCATTTTTGTTTGCACCCTGGGTCATTGGTACCACTGCGATGGCTTCCCCTCTTTTCATGGGACAACAACTGCAATATGGTCCTCAATACTGTTCTGGCCATTCTAATGATTAATGCCAAACATCTGAATTTTCTTACGTTACAAATACTTCCTTAATGGTGGCTTTATGGTGATTTGGTCATACTAAATTGGGTTTCTGGTTTGGGATGGTCTCTTAAATACTGGGTTTCCTATATTCTATTTTTAACGTGTGGTTTTTTCTGATATCTGGGTTCTAAAAGAAATCTTTGGAATTAAGAGAAAAACAAGCTGAAAAGGAAGAAAAGCAGAAAACAAAGAAAATAGAAACAAGTGCAGAAAAGTTGCGTAAGCTCTTAAAAGAGGAGAAAAGGTAAACTATAATATTCAGTATTTTTAACTTAAGCAACTACTGAGTTGAACCCAAAGTGCCAGATGGAAGTAAAGTAAGTTTTTAAAAAACAAAAAAAGCATCTGAAGGTGATACCTGTTAAAAATTCTCAGCAAGTATGTGTTCCACACAGTGTTCTATAAAAAACATTCTAAGCAAAGTGAAATCTAAGACTAGAATTCTGGAAAAGAAAAAATAGAATTATTGTTAAAATATAAAATGAGTTATTTTAGTTATCTGTGTGATAGGAATGTTTTAGAAGTAGAGCACTGGTTCTCAATGAGAGGTAGATTTTTCCCTAGGTAGTATTTGGCAATGTCTGGAGATATTTTTGATTGTCATAATTGGTGGGGTACTGTGAGCATCTAATGGGTAGAGTCCATTAGAATTGAACATTCTACTATGGACAAGACAGCACCAATAAAGAACTAAATGAAGCTAGAAGTAGCCAGATATAAAACTTCAAATTTTTCCTTTTGGGTTTATTTACTGTCTTAAGTTTTTAATATTAGACATGTCACTGTGTCTTTCAGAAATGATCAATTTGCTCACAGTGACACACTGGGAACATGTAGTTTCTCCAGAAGTCATACTTGATAGTAAAACTGGATTTTGTATTAAATGAAATCATTGTATCATTTTTTTATTTGTGTATTATTTATTGTGTGATCTGTAGCTTCTAGAAAATCGTTAAGGAGAACAAAAGGGGGTTAAAATCTTTATGGCAGTAACATTTCTGTATTTCACATACCTGATGAGTTAACTATATTTTTTTAGGCTAAAGAAGAAAAGAAGAAAATCATCATCATCATCATCATCTTCAAGTGTTTCATCTGATGATGAATCTGTTTCTTCTTCCTCATCCTCTTCCTCTTCTGATCACAAAAGGCATAAGAAACATAAGAGAACTCGTTCAGAATCTTCTCGCAGTTCCAAAAGGCATGTTTCTAGGGCATCCTCAAGTCAGGTAGATCAGAACAGGAAAGATGAGTGCTACCCAGTTCCAACTAACACTTCAGCGTCTTTTCTTAATCAAAAACAAGAAGTGGAAAAGCTACTGGAAAAGCAGGATAAGTTGCAATATCCAAAGACACAGGTAAAAGAGAAAGATAGATGCCCTCTCTCTTCATCTTCAGTTGAAAGACCGGATGAATTTGGAGGTAGGTCTGAAGATCCAAGAGACTTTTATAATAGCCATAAAGCCCAGGCAGGTGGTAGCAAAACAGAAAAGCCATACAAATCAGAAAGACATTTTTCCAGTAGAAGAAATTCCTCAGATTCCTTCTGTAGGAATTCAGAGGACAAAATGTATGGTTATAGGAGATTTGAAAAAGACATAGAGGGAAGAAAAGAGCATTACAGAAGGTGGGAGCCAGGTTCTATGAAATATTCCTCTTCACCAGCCAGTTCAGACTACTCATGGAAGTCAGTTGAAAAACACAAGAAATACACTTTTCCTGGATCACATGATTCCAGTAGACACGAGCAAAAGTACCGTGTCGGTCAAGGAAATTATGAAAGAGAGGACAGTTCTAGGGAAAATAACAAAACACAGGTTCCAGAAGAAGATAGATTAAGTAGCAAAGAGCAATCAGAAAGCAAAGTTAAAAAAAATTTACCTCAAAATTTACTCAATATATTTAACCAGATAGCTGAATTTGAGAAAGAAAAAGGAAATAAGCCAAAAAACTAATATGCCAAGGAAATTTGTACCATTATACCAAGCACTGCTGGTAAATATTTTAGTGTACTTTAGTCATACAATCTGATGCTGAAACACCTGCTTCTAAAAACATTTGTAGAGGTTACAGAAAGCTTACCTGCAATTTGTTTCAGTTTTAGGTCCCTTTGTCACAAGTTGAGTTTATGCCTTCCATGAGTATGTTTATGTACAGTATATTTCTTACTATGCCAGTTGAAATTTCTTTACCTAAACTAAGGTAATTCTCTGAAAACATTGCTTCATTGTATTAAGGTGTATGCAAATTCCTGAGCCCATCCTGTCTTTCTGTTTGGCAGAAAGTTAAATTTGCGTATTAAATGCTTAGATAATTTCATCAAGAATTATTCTTTTCTGTTAAATAAAAGCCCTCAGATTTTGAGGGAGTATGTTTGAATGTCTCGAGTACTATTTTATATCATTTGTTTAACTGTTACAGAATTTTATTTTAAAATGGTAGATCATATCTATTAATTTGCCTCTAAGAAGCCTAATTTAATTAAAAGTGGTCTGAACATTCATTAGCTTTTACTTAAACAGACACCTTCAAATAAGACCAGGAAAGCTGATGAACCTATTTAGCTTATTTATCCATTATTATTTTTTTACTTACCATTATCATTATGGCCATAAGAATTAAACCTTAAGCACTGGTAAGGCCCGTAAGAGACTGTATTCTAGGCAAGAGTAGGTTAGAATAGAAAGAGCAGCGGTACAGAAGCACACTGTAAATCTGTTACTGCTCTGGGGAAAGAAAGTTAAAGAACGGTCCTCGTATTGCAAATGTTCTGTTGGGCAGTCGCTAGGCCTGTTTAAAAATAGCCTTGGACAGGCTTACATTTTTACTTTCTTCCTTCTTAGCATCTTGCCTCCCTTACTGCCTCTTTTCTCAAGATCTGAATAAAAGACTAGGGCAACCACAGCTTAATTTTATTCAGAATGAATTTCAACAGCTAGAGCTAAAGAAAGGACTTGCATTTTAAAGATCATCCTCAGATTACTGAATATAGTAATCTCTTTGTGAGTTATTGATAAGTATGCTTTTTAGAATCTTTGTAATTTAAGATTCTAAAGCTGTAAATGGCAGTGGAATTTTAGTCTCATGATTCATGACACAGGCTGAGTGTAGGTGGGAGGGCAGGTGGGGATCCATCTACAAAGGTCCAAATAGAATGATAGAGGAAGAAACCAGTTCTTCCTCCTGTCAAACCTTTATTACTATGTAATAATGTTGGTGTCCTTCAGATTGTAATGATATGAGCCTAATGGAAAAATCTTAAAGTTAATTTTTCAGTGGAACAGGGAAAAGAAATCCTGGTTAAGGACATAGGTAATAGCAGCAGGAATAGGCTAGGTCACTCAAGCACCAGCCTTTGCAACAAGAAACCCAGTGTTCTGTATACTAATAGTTCTACTGTCATCTCTACACACTTCTGCTTAACGTTTTTGTTGCTGTGTTTTGAAGTATTGAAGATTAACTGAATTCTCTTAACATGCTAGGCATGCACTCTACCATTAAGCTGCATCCTTCTCACTTGTTATCTTTTTTGATAGTCTCACTATATAGGTTAACTTGGCCTCAAACTTAACAGTCTTCCTGCCTGAGCCTCCCAAGTAGCTTAGGTTACAGATACGTGCCATAGCACCTGACCACAGTGAGCTTTTCAAAAAGCAAAAACTACCTCTTGGCATAGCCCCTTGACACTTGAGAATCCCTAGCATAGCTTACAATTTTATACATGCCATTTTACCTCAATGTTAAGGTAGTGCCTTATCTTTTAGGCTGTTTGAATTTTAAAATTCCTTCTTTTCCAGGATTTAAGCAGAGTCCAACCAATTTCTAATGATGTGTTTATAAAACCCATCACAGCAAAAAAAAAAAAAAAATATATATATATATATATAAAATCCCATATGTGTGTGTGTGTGTGTGTGTGTGTATATATATATATGGGATTAAATTGTCAGAAATTCATTGTGACATCTTCAATAATTTTTCTCAGTTATCAGTAAGTCTATGGTTTGTCTGTGTCTTTGTTTCAATAAATAAAAGAACTCACATTGAATTTTAAGATCAGATTTGGAGAAACAGTCATTGGTCCTGTGTTTTGTCAGTTAGTATTGTATTGAAGTTAGAACTATTATTGTATCTAAGGGTTAAATGTAAACTTGTATGCTGGCTGAAAAACCTAACCATTTCACAAATTCCATGCTAGGCTCTCGATAGCAATTTAGTAGATAAAAGTTCCAGTTGTAGCATAATTATATGTGTCAAGGCCTGTACATTTACATTATCCAGTGTCAGTAAATTTGTACATAATTTACTGCACAATATTTTCCATATTGCAGGTGCAGCATGGGGAAATAATTAAACAAAGTCAGAAAGTTGGTAATAAGATTTTTAACTCCTACCTTCATAGAATACATTTAATGTTTTGAGTTCCACATAATTTACAGACAGATATACAACTGAGAGTAAGAACATGGCTGAACAAAATGACTAAGAATAATCAGTTTTTAGATCTTCTAAATAAATCTTGTTCTCAGAGCAATGTTTCAGCCAAAAAAATTGCCCAGCTTTTTACCCCTCTTACTTTGTAGACTTTGCAGACTTTGCTGTATTTTCTAAGCTATTTCTAAAACAACATGGTTTAAAGGATGTGTGCTTAAATTCTGGTACATTTATTTGAAATCTCTGAAAGAGAATAACTTTCAGAGTGCTGCCAAAGCAAGCACTCATACCCTATTTTGAAAGTTCAAGGGCTGGGCACAAATTAATTAACTGGAAAAACTAATTCTAAATCTGATGGTCTATCTCCAGTGTAAGTCTGGAATTCTAATAGTGAATCATAGCTAGCTAGCTTTAAATTGTTTATTAAGTAAATTTCCAAAATGTGCTTGGTTGCCTTATTTTCAAAGCAGAATCTTTAATGTGTTTGATTTCTTTCAAGGGCAGTGTAGAATAATTCTTAGAGATTTATGCTCGCTTTTTTTTTTTTTTTTAACTAAGCTGCATTTCTCTTACCAGTTTCCTCTGGGGTGGGGGTCAATACTGTCTTTTAATTATAGATTTATACCAAAAGAAGGGACTGCCTTTAACAGATTTTTTTTTCCACAAAAAGTCTGCAAAATAAATTTCTTTGAATAAAGGAAGCCTAATATGGGGATCTTGTAAGATAAATGCAAAATTTCTTACTGTGATATGCAATGAATCTTCAAAAATTTCTTCCTAAAGGATTCTGTTACAAATGTGTAGTATATTCTAACACTACAAACATCAAAATTGCAATGGAAACATGTTGCCCATACTTACATACCTTGTAGCCTTATTAAGAATCTGCTATTATTTTCCTTTCCTAAGTGCAAAGTAGTAGGAAACTTAAGAAAATTACCTTAATAATAGCTTTTACATTTTCATATTTTCTACTGGATTAAAAAACCTAGCCTTTTATTTCTAACACTATTTCAGTAGGCCTCTTTAGATCATTATTTGGTGCTCAAAAATCGGATGGGACTTAGGATAGGTAGGAGATTTTTGTTTTAGTGTTTAAAGCTTGTCCAAAAAAGTTTCAAATGTTTATTTGCCATTCTTGTTGCTTTTCAAGTTAGTAGAACTATTGCTAGCACTGACTGGCCTAGAATTAGTGCCTACTGGTGAAGAGTCTGCGAGGTTGAGCTCTAATACTTTAATCGAAGCCTGAGAAGCAGAAGTATTTACGCTACTCCTAGAAGACCTAAGGAAAAAAGAAAAAAAATTATAAATTTACTGCAAATTTATATTTGATATAGTACCCCTTTATTGAAAAAAAGATATACCATAGTTCCATGAGTAAAGAAAAACATATTAATAGTGTTAATAAATTTTAAAGTATGATCATTAATAAAAATCAAGTAATTTTAGAAAAGGAAATAAGAACATACTTTCAACTCGGCAGTCTCAGAGCTATAAGCACTAATAGAACTTTGCAAGAATAGTTAATAACGTAATTTAAGCTAAAGTGGAAAGGTGTGTTGGCAGGGATAAAATGGTGGAATCATTTGGAAAATGGGCATATAATTAAAATGTTTTTAAAATGTATTTATGAGGACCAGGAGTTTAGCTCAGTGCATAAACACCTGTCTGACAAGCACCAGGTTGTGAGTTCAATCCCTGGTACCAAAACAAAGAAAAAAAAAGAAACTCTTAAATTTTACGAAGGTACAGGGAAGTTTAGCTACTTATATTTACATAAAAGAGAGTTTTTAGTGCTTAAGAACTGTTTTATAGGACCTCATATTCCCTAAAATCTCCATAAGGACTAATGAAAGGTATTGAATAGCTGCTGAAATGTAGGAGATTGGCAGTTCTAAAATCAGGATCACCATTAATTTTATTTCGCCAGTGATGCACAAAACTGCTGATTAAGCATCCCTAAAGACAGAATTCTCCTAACAGTTGCAGAAGAAAAAACTAGCTTTCTTTTTAGCAAAATAAAATATAATAAAACCCTAATGTGTAAAATTTGGCCTTAAGCTCAAAAATTATACTCCATATGTATACTTCTGTTGCCATTTTATAACCTAAAAAGATTGTATTACTGTTTCACGTACCTTAGAGATACCGATGAGGCCTGTGAAGATACAGAACTCTGGCTGCCTTTACTACTACTGGTTATAGGTAGCTCTAATCCATTCTGAAAAATATTTAACAGTAATCATTAGACCTACTGGATTTTAGGAAAAAAATTTTAGATTTTACTTTATGATGAACATTGTAACCTTTTATTTTTATGAAGCATTAAAATTAGGACTGGGGATACAGCTCAGTGCTGGAACACTGCCTAGATTTCAATTCCCAATACCAAAAAAAAAAAAAAATACTGTATAGATTACCTGCTTGAAGTATGTTTGAAGGGTAAAACGGATAGCAGCATTTTCTTCTATACAGTCAGCTAACATTTCATCAATGACTTTATGAAATTGCTTTACTTCACGAAGTTTAATGTCTTGTTCTTCTGGCGTTTCATCTTTTGTTTGTTTCAAAAGACGTATGTTTTTTGTGAGTTTTGCACACTGTTAGTAAAGTAAAGATGAACATAAACCTATTTTTCAAGAAGTTTTCAAGGATAAAGAATTTAAATTTACCATTTAGACTTGAAAAAAATTAACCCTAAGTCAATTTTAGAAAGGTAATTATACCTGTTTAGTCACTCTCTGTAATTTTGGCTTCTGCTCCTCAGTTTCTTTATGTAGGTGAGCTGCAAGAGCTTGCTTTTCTGATAATTTTTCTTTGGCCTTATTTGCTAAATATTCTGTAAGTTGTAAAGTGTTTTCCATGCTCTGCAGAAAAGTTTTAACATACTGATTAGAATAAAAAGCTGACTTCTCCTTTTCCATTTGTCATGTATTTGCATAATTCATTTATTCTTGTAATAATACCTTGATACATCTTATAATAATACCTTGATACATTTAGTGGCTAAATCAGTGTAATGCTCTTGTGGATTAAGTTTTGTATATAATTCCACTGAAAACTATTTTAATGGTACTCACTTAGAAGAAAAAAATAGTTAAATGCATTTTTCAGATTCACAATTTATATCATGTTCTTTCAACTTTCTTTGTAAAAAAACGTTTTTACAGATAGGGCTTGCTTATAAAGCATGTTCTTTTGTCTTTCCATGATTTCCTCTAGGTTATGTTTATCTTTAAAACTTTAAGAAGCAATCTTAATGTGATCCTTAAGATATTAAAAGTTCGTTAACTAGGTATTAAATTGGTGAATAGCTGATAATTTGCTAGTTGTAATCCATCAACTAATAAATAATTTTCAGTGCTTAGCAATGGGATTTTAACTGATTTACCTAATATAGTCATCACTTATTTAAATGAGACAAATGTGAGTCCCTTTAAATTACTCATATCCCTTATCTCCCTAAAGAGCCTGTAAGTTACTATCTTCATTGTACAAGCTTAAGAGACTAGAAGTAATAATGACAGTTGGTTTTTATCAGCTGTTTATTTCTAATGAACATATAGAATTTACCCGAATGTCTTCTTCAAGTTCTCTAATTTGTCTCTGTTTATATCTGTATTTTTCATCTGCAGCTCTTCTTTGTTCTTCTAGTTGAGTTTTTAAGTGATACTCATCACCTAGAATTCAGAGAACTTTTAGTTTGAATTTTCAATATAGGCAATCTTAAATATATATATTCAACTTCTGACATTTTTGTTGTTGTTTGTTATTGTTGTAGTTGTATGAAAGGTTAAATTCCTTTTACCTGAGAAAAATCCTACCTGAGGAATGTAGTAGCCATTTCTTCTTTGGTTAATATACAGGAGCAACATGCTACAATTTTTTTTAAACTTAAAATCAATTCCCAAGGAAGTGATATGCCACATACCAATAACACTAAAAGGGAAAGGGAAGGGTAGTTGAGCTTTTCTGATCCAGTGAAACATGGTATATTTTGCTCTCCATGTTTCATTAATATTCCTCCTCTTAAGTAAATATTCAGCTTCTACTATAGTTACATACATATAAGTAACTTCTACATACTGGAAGGAGTCACTTTCTTAAAAGATTGTTTGTAATTTCTGTTGCAGCTGTTCAACACTTGCAAGGTGTTTTCTAGAGCAAAGATTTCTTTTTCAGCTTTGTTGATCTTAGCATCCAAACGGTCACCTTGCCTTTGAAGTTCTTCTTTTTCTTGAGCAGCCTATGAAGTACAGAAGTAGTTAAAGTTATTTATCATAGGGAAACATCTGTCTTTGAAGTAAACAGTGTACTCAACAGTGTTCATTTACCTTAAGGCTTGCACATTTATTTCTTGTACATGATTTATAGTAGGAGACCAAATCCTAAAGCCTTCAAAATATGATAAATAGAATAATTAACTAAAACTTAAAACACTAGCAGACAGTTGCCAAAAAGTGAAGCAGTATGAAATTTACTGACAAGAATAAAAGTTGACAGGAGTTTGATAGGAGTTCAATTTGAGCCTGAAAGAAGTTCTAAGATTATTATCATTTCAAATCTTAGAATGCAGTAAAAAATGAACAAGGTGTATCTTGGAAAATAACAAGGATAATATTTTGTCATGAATTTTATAAAATAGAAAAAGGTCATTGTGATAATTGAAATCCCCAAAGAAAACAGGAAGTCCCAGAACGAGTTTTCTTTGTGAGTTTGACACCGAACTCAGTGATTTTTTTTTTCCCCGAAGTAACTCATGGAGCTAGGCTTTCTAGAGTTCTTCCAAACACTTTCTCAGATTAGAGATTGACAGAAGTAGCATGCCTATATATTAAAAAATGACAAAGCTGAGCATTTTGGCACAAGTTCTAGGACATCACCTGGGCAAATGCTTCTCTATTTTGGACAAAACAGACACCTCTGCTGGCAGACCTTTTCTAATGTTAACTGGAAATGAATACCATTTCTACTGAAATTCTCACCCAATATTGTACCAACATTGCCTCTTCCCTTACAATACAGGTAAGCACATTATTTTGGTGAAGGGGGTATCTAAGTCCTGAATTCCCATTAAAAGTGAATCAAGCCTATAATCCCAAGTACTCAGGAGACTAAAACAGGAGGATTTTAAGTTCAGGATCAGTCTGGGTAATTTAGCAAGATTCTTCCTCAAAATAAAAATGGGCTGAAAATGTAGTTCACGCTACCTGGGTTCAGCTCCCAATACTAAGTGAACATAAATCACAATCGATTTTTAATCAAAATCTGCTAACTTTTAAATTGAGTCCCTAAGAATGTATTTAAACCAGAATGTAGTCAACAAGAAAGGTGTTTTATCAGTACCATTTCAGTTCTTAACATTTTCACTGATATGTATATATTTTTAAAACATATTGCACAGACTTTTATAACATCATAAGAGCCATAAAGGGTAAATACTTGAGGAAAAAGATGCTTACTAAAGAGATGCTCGTTTTGATGTTAACCTTGTACATGTATGGGAAGAACACATAGTGCCCCTAAATATGTTCAATTTTTATGTGTAGAAAGTTTGGCAAAAACAAAAGCTAAAAGTTTTAGATAAGTTACTCTGATTCCTTTCAGTGTAGATGTGACCACCAACTCACCTGGAGTGTAGTGGAGTAGAGGAGTGAGGGGAACTGAGTGAGAACATTCAGGTTTTACGTGGTTTAACTACCCATGAGTTCAGTCACTCACTTCCCTTTTGAGAATGACTGTTCACCCTATAACTCCTGTTCTAATTCCATAGTATACTGTGGAGTTCTAAAGTTGTTCTGCTTCTAAAGTCAGATTATAAAAAATGAAATCAAATTATATAATGTATACTTTGGCCTAGAAAATTTGATACTTGGAAATTTTTTAAATAACCTTTTAACATTTCAGAGCATTTTCAAATACTTGTAATTAGACAGTTCCACTACATAATAGTCCAAAGTTAGATCACTATAACAATAAGAGGAACTTGGAAATAAGGTTTAAAATATGCCAGTTCATTACAGGTTGTTAATTTTTCAGTCCAGCTTTTAAGGAGGAGCTAGATACTACAAAACAACTGAAACTGATTAAGGTCATGGATAATGCTCCATAGACCATAGACTACTGCAAGACCAAAAACAGATTAGGAGTTGAGCTATGTCCGTGAAAAAAGATACATTGAAGTCCTAATCCTCAGTACCTCATTTTGACCTTACTTGGAAATAGGGTTTTTGCAGATGAATTCATTAAGGTGGTCCTTAACCCAGTACAGTATAACTAATGTCTGGTAAAGTTTGACACACATGTGCAGAGAAAAGACTGGTGACAGGAAGAATACCATGTAAAAGTGAAGACATACCAGGGTGGTATACCTACAAGCCAAGATGCACCAGACTGCCAGTAAACCACCAGAAGATGGGCATAAAACATTCTGCCTCCCAGCCCTCTGAAGCCGGCTTTGCCAGCACATCCATCCTGGCTGTCTAAACTGCTGGGCATAAGACAAGGAATTTCATTTAGCTGATGACACTTGTGACTGGTAGGAGGTATGCCTTAATTTGCAGTTGTGACACCTCTAAGAAAGAGGTCAACAAACTATGTAAGGGGCCAGGTAGCAAATAATTCAGACTTTGTAGGCCAATCTGGGCTGAAACTAGTAATCTGACATTGTAGCAGAAAAGCAAGCAATTAGGGATTTTTTAAGTGTGGTTCTTTTCCAGTGGGCTTTCCTGGGCAGAATACCCACAGCTTCATAGCAGTAACAACAATAGCTAACATTTAATGAGGGCTTACTTTGTGCCAGGCATGGCTCTAAAGGTTTTGTGTATGTTTTCTCATTAAATTTCTCCCAATAAAGGTAATTTGCAACTCTCATATTGCAAGTGAAAAAAGACCCCAGTGATTATTAATGATCGTCTTGGTAAAAACAAGATGTGAACAAAGCACTCAGCATCAGCACATGTAGGTAAACCACTACTGCCCTTGTGCGTAGAGAAGCTTAATGAAATTGCAGTGTGTACCTTCTTTCCAATGCCTGCCTGACTAGACCCTACTCCTGACTTTATGGAAACTTTTTAGTTAAAGCCTGGGAAGAGGGATGTCTGTTAGTACTAGATAGAAGCTTAAAGTATTGCACACCAAGGCAGAAGACAGCTTGGAGAGAGCTGATTTCCCATAGGTTTGGCAGAATTTCCAGAAGTAAAAGTGACAATTACATGGGGATTTTGCTCAGTGGCATAGCACCTGCCTTGCAAGCAGGCGGTCGTGAGTTCGATCCCCAGTACCGATAAAAATGAAAAAGACAAAAAGTGACAAGCATGCCACACGTAGTGTATGTGCTGACACAGTCCTGAAAAAGGACCACCCAAGAAAACTTTGGAGCTTAAGGGGATTGTAGAAGTGGCAGAGAATATCCACAGAACCGTCTTCTGAAGGTGTAAATTGGGAGATCTCTTCCTCACCTACGCATGTGTGATACAAAGACACAGTGTGTTGAGTCATTCCCCAGACATTTCTGTAAAGGCAGTCACACCTGCTGAGGTATTTTTAAGTGGAAAAATGACTATTGCAGTATTAAGAATTGCATCCAATTCCTTAACACTCCTGAATTTCCTCTTACAGGTTTTAAGGTAAACATAAGCATGGGATGGCAGGCATTCTCAAACATCAGAATGCAGTTTCACCTAATACATCTCCTGTATAATAAGAGGGCAAAGAACAGCCCTCTTCCTCTGGACAGCTGCCTACCAGGTCTACAGTGGTAAACGGAAATTTAACATGCAGGGTGATATAGTTACAGAGGATGATAACATCCTGGGTATGGCATGGCAGCAGCTGTCTACAATGAAAAAACCTTCAAAATACTGAACTAGTCAGAGGCATGCTGAGGGTGCCCAAAGTGACAAATGGACTTAGAACAAAACAGGTTACAAATCTTGACTAAATGAGAGAAAATGACATGATCAAATAGTAGGAATCAGAGGGCAGTGTTTTGATCTCATGGACTGGAGGTACACAGAACTGATAGTGCTTTAGTATCTCCATTTAACAAATGTTTTGGCCCTTAAGTGCAATAGTTAATGCCTCTAAGTGAATAATTGCAGTATTCAAAATGGTTCTTTCAAATTCAGATGATTACTATAAATTAACAGGCTACTTCATACTATTACAATCTAAATCAATGAAGATTACCTTTATTACATAATAGGCCTGTATTTTCTCCTCTTCTCCATCAGGAGGCTGCATAACAACAGTAAGAATTTCATATCTGTTTTTCAGCTTATCAATTTTACTGAGTCGTTCATGGAACTCACCACTAATATGAAAAGACAAAAATAATTGAAAGAATTAATGTATGCTTATTGAATATACTTGGATTTGTGTTACTGCTGAGTTCAGACAGGTTAAATGTGTTTTGCTTTTTTAATTTAGGTCAATTCACTGTGGAGGGTTTTACATTTTACCTCACTTGAAAGCTTAACAAATTAGCATGCCATGGTTTCATGGATGCTGGCAGAAAGACAAGATTCCCCAAGAGCAGAGCAAAGGACTTTATAACTCATGGCACAACAAGTAACATGAACTTTCTCCACAAGAAAGGCTCAACTGGATGCTATACAAAAACAGTGGGTTTGTGTCAGCTGAGGCAACCCAACTATTAGAAATGTGATTTTGACAGTAATGGTTTCTGTTCCAATAATAACCATAAAATTATCATAGTTTCTAATATATGTTGGAACTAGAAAGAAGTAAAGAAGAACATGAAGTAATTTCAGGCTTCCACAATAATAAAAATATAGGGAGGGGCCAGGGTTTTAGCTCAGTAGCACAGTGCCTGCCTGGCAAGCATGAGGGCCTGAGTTTGATTCACAATTCAAAATAAGTACTTAACTTTCCATAATCATAGAAGTCCTAATCTTGCCTAAAATTATCTATATAAAATTATCTTTAAGAGACAAACTAACTCAGAGCTTAAAATAAGGCTCCCCTGTTGAACAAATGACTTAACTGCAGAGAGAACCTTTAGCTGAAACAGTATTTAATGACTATGCATTGAGCATTTATGAATAAATATACATACAGAAAACCAAGGACCATCAAATACTTATGAAAAGTTAACAAGATGAATCAAAATGAACAAAGAACGGATCTGGGGAGAAACTGGTAATGCACAGAAGAGAATTTTCAAAGTATTCTAATTAGTATCCTCTAAAAAGTGAGTGGATATTAGCTCCAAGAACTCCCATAAAACAAGATGAGCTGCTATTTTTCAAAGGCCAATAAGAAAAACAAGGTTTGGAAATGGGTTATTTTCAATAGTAAAAAAAGAATAAATTCAGTTAGTAACCTGGAGAGATGGTGAAAGATGAGGGAAGCTAGCCAGAAGGGAGGGAAACGAGGAAAAAGAACTAAAATATTTGAGAAAGTGGAATAAAGAGTAAAAATGAGAGAAAAATTTAAAGCCTAGAGAACAGCTCTAAAAAGGCCAGCATCTAAATGTGAGCAACATATGGAGGAAACAGATTTCTGATGAGAAAAAAAAAAAAATTAGAAAAATTTTTCCCTGACCCAAAGAAAAACTTGAATAACTGTGCTCACCTAAGGTTAACCAAAAATAATTTTTAAAAATGACAATACACCAAAACACATACAGATAAACCATAAAACACCAATGATAAGGACTGTGACGAAGCTTCCATAAAGAAAACAAAAACCAGGTTCCCCACAGTAAATTCACTTTCTCATTAAAACACTGTACTGTAAACTCAAAGGATATAAGCAGTGTTTTCAAAAAATACATGCAAGCTGAGAAGAGAAAAAGTACAAGAAAAAAGTACAAAATCCTTCTTAGGAGGAGGAAAATAACTTTGTTCTTTTGACCTTAAAAATAATCAACGAAATTTAAAAATTAATAATAATCAACAAAATAATTAGACTGCCTTATAGAGTTAGAGAGGAAAAAGAAATTCATTAACCCAATGAAAAGCAGGAATTCATGGCAATTTTTTAATATTCCTTGAAAAGTTACATACTATATAGACATACCCTTTATCCAGCAATTCCTCTAGTAGGTATTTTCCAGAAAAAGAGAAAGCATGTGTCATGCCAAGAACACATATGTTCACAGCAGCTTTGTTTATAATAGCAAAAAACTGAAGACGGTGCAAATGTTCACACTTATCAGCAGGCATATGAGTAAACAAATTGAGTAAAACAAACAACAGAACACTAATACTCAGCAATAAAAAGCCAGATGAGCAAACCCTGCTGCCTGTGATCTGTGTTTTGTTTCCCAATTTTTCTTTTCTATTGGTCCATGTTTGTACTACATAATGAATACATTCCTCATGGGGAGCTGGTAGACATATGTAACACGTGGCAACTGCATTTTCATTCCCTTCCCCTTCTCTGCCTCTCCCCTCCTCCACCTTCTCTCCTCCCTCCATCTCTTGATCCCCCTTCCATTTGCAGAAGATCTCCCTGTTTCCTATTGTTATCGTTTAGTTTGCTCTTTATTTGTATTAGAATCCATGCAATATTGAAGTTTGTGTGCCTGATTTATTTCACTTCACATTATAGTCCCAAGGTACATCTGTTTTCCTCCAAATGACTCCAGTTGGTTGTTTATGACAGAGTAGTACTCCACTGTGTATGGATCCCACGTTTTATTTACCTGTTCATCTGCTGATGTGCATATAGGGTGCTTCTAAGATTTAGCTACTATGCACTGCCTGCCACCTGTTTTTGTACAACTTACATCCAAAGAGTAGCTTTTATTTTTTAAGTGACAGAAAATAAAGAATTATACTTCATGAAAGATGAAAATTCTATTAAAGTTTCAGGGTTCATAAAGTTTTATTGGAACATAGCCATGATCACCTGTGTATTTTCTAGGGCTGCTTTTACTATACAGAGGTGGAGTTGACTTATAAAGACAAAGACCAAAAAACCTGCAAAGTACTATAATATTTATTATCCAGCCCTTACAGAAAAGTGGGGCAACCTCTGATAAAAAGCAGCATCAATGGGGCTGGGATGTGGCTCAGTTGATAGAATTCTTGCCTTGCATGCCAAAGCCCTGACTTAGATCCCCAGCAGCACCCCAAAAAAAAAAAACACGAATGTGTCTTAAAATAAGTATGCTGAATAAAATAAACCAAAAAAGTATAAAAAAGTATTCACTAATAGACTTCATGCATATAAAACTCTTGCAAATACAGTCTAAATTCTATGCATAACCTGGGTAAAGTGGCACACCTCTTTAATCTCAGCACTCATGGAGCTGAAATAGGAAAATCACCACAAGTTCAAGGCCAGCTTGGGTCACATAGTGAGTTCAAGACCAGCCTGAACTGTCTTAATAAACAAACGACCTAGTAAACAAATATAAATAAAAACAAATACACGTCTATGGATAAAAAGACCAATCAATGCTTAGGAAGGACGCATGGGAAAGAACTTGAGGGAGGAATTATAATGGACCTCAAGTAAACATGGCAGTCATGATGTGCTAACTATCTTGTTAGTGGTCATATTTTCTCAAGTTTATTTTAATTTTCCAAATTAAATATGTGCTACTTATTAGATCTCAGTTACACTTCAGAAAAGTTACTTCAACTAAAACAATGAGGCAAGAAAGACAAAAGGAACATGTGGCAATTTTGAAATTTGTGGGACGCTGCTAAAATAAAACTTAGAGGGAATTTTTTATCCTTCAAAGCTTAAGGTTAATAAACTACATATTTATCTCAAACAGAAAAAGAACAGTTAAAGCACACAAAAGAAATGAAAAAACATAAACATAAGATCAGAAATTAACAAAATAGTAAACAGTAAAAACAAGATTTACCCAAAAGATCAATAAAAGTTTCAAAAACTGATAAATCTGATTGCCTTCTGGTAAGACTTACCTCATTTAAAAAAAGAAAACAAATAATATCCAGAGTGAAAAGCAGAAAAAAATAGTAAAAACAAAAAGAAAAGCACTCATAAATTTACAAATATTTAATAAAATGGTATTACAGACAATTTGACAGCAATAATTTGAATTAGATGAAACTGAACATTTTTCCCATGGAAAACATAATTTGCCAAAATCAAATCAAATAGAAACACATCTGGGTTGTTCTACATAAACCAAAGGCTGAAAATCTTGCCCTTGAGAAAAACTCCAGATGCCCAATGGCTTTACTAATGAGATCTTTGAAAATTCAAAAAAGATATAATTCTACTCTTTTGTAAGTTTATCCAATATAAGGAACTATAGAAAACACACAAGTCATTTTGTGACAATATACATAACCTTAATAACCTGATAATCTAATAAGAGTAGTAGAACAGAGAGACAGTGGAACAGAGAGAGCATGTATACAAAATTTACATTAAGCTATTATCAGAGAAAATTCAAGTATATATAAAGGATAATATGTCACATACAAGGAACATAAGTTTGGTTTAATTTCAAAAATCTGATCAATGTAATTTTTGTTGTTTGTTTTGTTTGGTGAGATGGTTTCACTGTCCAGTTGAGGCTGGCCTTGAACTAACTTTGTAGCTCAAATTGGCCTTGAACCTGCAGTGATCCTCATGACTCAAGCTCCCAAATGCTGGGGTTACAGATGTGTACCCCACAACTGACTCTGATCAGTATAATTAATTACATTAATGGATTGAAGGAGCTACATGTCAATGAATATAGAAAAAGTATATAATAAAATTTGACGTACATTCCCTTAAGTAAATTAACCTCTTAGCAAGGAATAAGAATATATAGATCTCTCTTAATAAGGTAAACGATATCTTAAAACAGACCTGGTAATGTACCTCAATGGTGCAGCATATGCTTGAGCCCTTAAGTTAAATCCTCAACATAGAAAAACAAAAAACCAAACCTCAGTAATATTTATACTTGATGATAGAACAATGAAGCTTTCTCTTTGAGGGTAGGCAAAAGAGTACCCATAATCACCATTACTCAGCTGAACTGGAGGTCCTACCAAGAAGTACAGTAAAGTAAGAAAAAGAAGTTATAAAAACTGGAGAGAAAGGTATCATTCTAAAATGCTATGATGAAATATCTAGAAAATTAAAATCTATACATGAATTGTTCAAGTTTAAGCAGGATTGTTCAACACTTACAGAAATTAATTATATTAATATTTCTGTATACCAGCACCAAACCAAAAATGAAATGTTTTAATAAAATTAACATTTAAAAATTTTCCTAGGAATAATCTTTAAAAAAATATGCAAAACATCTACAGGAAAATGCCTTCACTAAGTGCAGCTATAGATATATACATAAAAACTAAAACATTACTAGACCCTTGCCATAATAAACCACACACAAAAATGAATTCCAAGCAGACTGGTGAGAGATTTTAGTGTAAAAGGGCAAACTGAGGAATGCAGAACCAGCCAAAGACAGGAGAACATACAGGGCCTACGCCGATGGTTATAACATGCCCTATGTCTTGTATTAAAAGACTTCAAACGCTAAGAAAAAGTTGAGCACCCAAGGTGATTAAGGAAGTAAGTGGTTCGCTTGACATCACCCTTAACATTTTTTCTCAACATTCTTAACAGTGTTTTAAAACTCTGACAGTCACCTTATGCTCTGCCGTTCTTGATCAGTGTGTCTTATTTGTGTGGTAAGCATCCTTTTGTGAACCTTGATTTCCTCCGTTCGCTCTTCCATAGCCGTAAGCAACTGCTGTTTTCTTTTTTCCAGGGACAGAACTTCTTCTGCTTTACTGTGAAGCATTTCTCGAGTCCGTTTAACCTCAAGTTTTAAGAGATTGTCCTCTATCATCAAATCCTAAAAACATAACAACATTTTCAAATACTGAAATAATTATCTTTATGCCAAACCAAAATGTTTACATTGCATAAAAATCAAATTTGAAAATAGACCATTTTTCTAGTTTGACCACTAAGGGCTAAGTTTAAATTAGTCAGGATTCTGTTTTTTCTTTTAAAGGGAAGGGGATATAGTTATTCCAAAGCATGATTTTATAATTCAATTTTAAAATCAACCTTTACTAAAAAACAATAGGAAAAAGTTATTCCTAAAAATTAAACTTACAATATCCATCAAATATAGTTATATAGGTGAACTTTTTATAAGCTAAATTTCATAAAATAATATGAAAACAAATTTTCATTTTAAAGAAACTCAGTTGAGTACTGACATAAAAGTAAGCAAACTGATCAATTTTCAGAAAAGAAAGTACAGAAACAAACACTCCAGAACATAAGATGTCACTATTTCATAAACATAACTTTTCAGGTAAAGAAAAGATTGAATTCCTTTATCTAAAGTGAACAAAAATAGATTCTAGGTGAGTGAAAAAATAAGAGGTTAAATCAGTGTAATACTAGAAATAGCAAAATGATTTTTAGAAGTTTCTAAGCATAAAAATTATAAAGAAAAAATCCTGAAGATTTGATGTTTAACAAAAGATTTTATGTCAACAACACTGAATGGGGCCAGGGAGACAGCTCAGAGGCCCAGCACCTGCCTGGCAAGTATAAGGTCCTGAGTTCAATTCCTGATACCAAAAAAGAAATTAAAGTCAAATGGAAGGTGTTGACAATATCATGACATAATATTTTTAAATATGAAAATATTTCACGAAACAATTGAAAAATACAAACCTCCCAATGGAAAAAATGAGCCGAGAATATAAACTAGATATCCAAAAAGAAAAATTAGGGAACATAACATGATGAAAAATGTTATAAACATTTTATTTAAGCATAAATGTTTTAAATTTTATCTTAATTTAAAACATTTATGTTTTAAACTTTAAACATTGTTTAAAATGTTTAATGTTTAAATGTCACCAATTAAAACAATTCAGATTTAAAACAATGAGATACCATTATCTGTCTACCAAATTGGCAACACATTTGTAAATTAAAATATGCAGACTCAGTGGCAGTAAATAAAGAAGAAGGCTTACACATCGCTGCTAGGGTATAATCAAACTTCTAGAGGTCAATTTGACTTAAAAATGGTTTGAAGACAAAAATATTCACTTTTTGAGTCATAATTATACAGGTAGGAATTTATTGAACAACTCTTCAATGATATATGTGCCAAAAACACTGGAAACAAATGCATGTCTAAAGGATAGAAAATGCTTAACTTGTAGTAACTTTGTAGAAAGTCTTTAAGAGTTATTTGTAAAGAGTAGTTAATGTTTTAGGAAACATATTAAAATTTTTAAAATAAAACATATAAAGCCAAATTTTTACAAGAAGGAAATAATAGGCTGCAGGGGATTTAGCTCAGCGGCATGAGCACCTGCCTAGCAAGCGCTAGGTTGTGAGTTTGATCCTCGGTACCAAAAAAAAAAAAAGAAGAAGGAAATAATAGACTTTATCTTGGGTAGAGTAATCAGAATGACTTTTTTCTTCCTCATCGTTTACTGTTTTTAAAATTTTCTACAATGAACATGAAAACATATGGCTTTTAAAAACATACATGCACATTTTATGGCACCTGTTTATAAACTTTGGCTTTATTAAGTTCTTTCTCCGAACTGTTGATAAAAAGGTTTAATTCATTCACTTTAGTCATAAGGCACTGTTTTTCATCAGAATTTTTACTATTTGACTTCTTGAAAAAGTAAAGATCGTTCTGTAAAAAGGAAAAAAAGGTGCATAAAATACATTTTACACAACAAATTTAAGTACATATTATAATAAACATCTTGTTTTATATACTCTAATATTTATATTTTAATCTTTCATCATACAGAGAAGCTTTTATCATCTAATAATATTTTGAATTTAGTCTGAATTCAATCATTCCAGGAAATACTGTATGTGGTTTCGCAACCTAAATTACAAAGTGCTCCCTATTTATGAGACAGGAGTATACATTTTATTTCATTACAGGCTTCACCACTCCCTTTCTGGAGTTCACTGTTTGATTCTATTCAAGTCCTTAATGGTCAAAATATTACAGAAAGCACAGCTAGAACCTGGTTTACATCCGAACGCTGCATCCATGGCCTTAATTATATATTAGCAATGTGATGCTTGTGGGCAACCTACCCTTCCTCAGTTCCTTCATCTCTAAGGGGAGATGAGAACCCTGCTTCCCTCCCTGACTTGTCGTGAGAGATAACCACTTCCTGTCAAAGAGTATTGTGACAATGCCTGACACACCAAAGTGCCATGTAAGTGCCAGCTGCTATTGTATAATTACTTATTTCTAGAAGGAAAATATTTCAGAAGATCAGATTTCATAAGATGTACAAACAAGTCAGACCACCAGACAGCAGTTTTCTAGTTTTATATAAAGTTGCTTCCCTTTTCCCACTCAGGACCTAGAATAAATTTTGTGCTCTTTCTCCCCTTTGCTTCCTAAATTAAGACTACTTTCCAGTTCCAAGAGACCACACGCACACAGGCACTGTCCCCAAACACACTTTTCTGCCTTTCTCATTGCCACGTTTTGCTGAAGTATCAAGACTTCAGATTGCAGTCAGGTTGTAAGAAGAGAAATAAATTTGGCATAAAGATGTGATTTCATCAAATTACATTTGGAATAAAAGAGTAAAATGTACTATTATTTTCAACTTGCAGAAGTCTTCATTATGTAAGTCATTATGGCATGGTACTAGAAGTGCATAAAAATGACAATCTCATGCCACTGTTGACAAAAAACCTTCAATAGGTTAACTAGATTTTAATGTATTTTAAATTAACTTGCATTTCTGTTAATTTACCTCTCCGTTAAAATCAGAGTTGAGATATGGATAAGTTCTACCTAACTAATATGAAGGTAGCCAACATAGTTTAAAGAGGAAAGCACTATAAGCTTCCCCACAGCAAAACAGACATGACTCAGGCCAGGGTAAATGTTTAGATTTAAAAGAAAAACAAAAAGAGGATTGTCCTCCTCTTCATCTGGAGTATCAGTTCTTTTCATGTTCTACACAAAAATAGTGCCACTAATAGAGTAACTACTAAAATCACTGTGATGACATGTACACTGCTTCTAGTTCCCTGATGCCCTGAAATAATATTTTTATATCTTTTCCATATGATACCCAAATAAAAGTTTAAATACATAGGAGTAGTGGTATTATCTTGAATTTCAGAATGTTTTATCTGATCCCAAAGCTTGCCTTCTTTTCTAGTAAACAAAAGAAGCACATAAAAATTTCTTCAAATTATAAATTACTCCAAAGCAAAACTTTGACACCTCAGAACTAAACAGTGACAGGCCCCTTTCACCTTTTGCAGCACTCCAAGATTCAGGAAAATTCTGCTTCTAACCACTAGAGGACACTCATCACTAGCCTTTCCAGCCATGACCAACACTGAAGCCCTCTCAGGTTTGCATTTGTCCTGGTCTCTGCCCTCACTCCCTAAATCATACTCCTAGTTAAATTTAACAAAAGCTTTCTATTACGATAAATATAGTAAGATTCCTAAAGATGAAGAGCATTATTGCCTTTGTAACTGAATAGTCACTGTAAATATTCTGAGTCATTAGTAGAATAACAACAAGAAATATCTCATGAAAGAAGGGATAATCAAAATATTTAGCATGGTAGAAACTATTCTAAGTAGTGTGCTCTTTAAGAGTATTTTGAATTCACATAGATCAGGAATCAAACCCTACCTCTACTCTCCATGGGGCAGCTATGTAACTGAACAAATTGCTTAATCTATAAAAGTGGTGATAAACAGTATCCTCTTCACAAGACACTTATAAAACTTAGTGAATTAAAACAGTAGAGGCATGTAATGAAGTAAATACTTAGTCAGTGTGAACACTACATCAGATAGTCAGTATAGACCACCGGAAGCAAAGCAGTCTTAGAACTATGTTGACTTAAAAGAGAATGGGTAGTAACTACATACTGAAAACATAAAAAGAAAAAAAGTATTTTGGCTAAATTACATGAAGTTTCTTGATCTGAGTTTCCAAAAGGTCAAACGTAGACTTCTTCTCTTCCAATGACTTCTTAAGTTCAACAAGTTTTGCTTCCAGAACTTGTTTTTCTTCTGAATTAATTTCTCCTTTTAACCGTGACATTCTTCGTTCCACTTGTTGAACACAAAAGTCCTGTGGCAGTTTTTAAAAAGGAGTCAGGAGAGAAATACAAACAATTTAAAAGTATATCTACAGGTAAGCGCCCGTAGCATGGGCCAGGAGGAGAACCAGAACTCCCGAGATCCGGCCATGGTGGGACTCGGGCAGCTTATTCACCGGCCCTCCTGGTAAGCACTCACAGCGTGGGCCAGGAAGAGACCAATTCATTACCTGTGAGCCTACTGCTATGCAGGCTTCCCCCTCCCGCCACCCCCCATAGCTACTGGGGATAGATGTCTCAGCATCTCTGGGGAGGATGACCACATGCAGTATAGCAAATATGGGGGATTTCCTTCTATCTTCTGTTTGAAGGCAAAGGTTGTTTTCACTGTTTTGTTTTGTGATGTTTCTTTTGCTCTATTCAGTACTCTGAATTGGTTTTATAATGTTCTATTTTTGGTTTGATTTTGCTATACCTAATTGACTGGACAACTATTGTGAACTTAAAGAGATATACCATAGTACCTATTATTACTATCCCAGTACCCTACTGTGAGATCCTGTACCAATTTCACTGCATTGTCTGGATTGGCTTTGTTTTGTCTTGTGCTATTGCATTTTTACTACTTTAAAAATAAAAATTTTTAAAAATCCCCCCCAAAAAAGTATATCTACAAATGTAAAAATAGTGAATATTTTCTGTTTTGCATCTTTTAAAAATGTACCTTCAAAAACCTACATCCATGTTAATCTAACAGATTTACTAGGGTTCTATTATGATAGTATGATAAAAATCCACTGATTGGCTACATTTGCAGATTATTTGTCTCATCATCAAGCACCCTGATTGTTGAAGAATAATTTGTAGTTGCTCCCCTTAGAGTAAAAATTTTATTGTGAATTACTGACCTTCAATAATAGAACTGTAGTAAATCTTCTAGATTTACGTAGATACGGATTTTTGAGAGTACATTTTCTAAAAGATGCAAAAAAGATAGTCACAAATAGCCATAAAAGGCTCATAACAAATTGGGGGACAGGGATTTAACTCAGTGGCATAAGTGCTAGCCTGGCAAGCATAAGGTCATGAGTTTGATCCCTGGTAAAAAAAAAAAAAGGCTCATAATGAATTTTTTTAAAAATTATACTTTAACATTTGCATTTTGAGAAACTAAGCCTATAATAATGAGGGATATATATATAATATATAATATATTATAACATATTATATATTATATTATACTACATTATAATATAGTAGGTAGGGATGGGGTACCTAAGTTTGCACAAATAAGAATACAGTATTTTTAGGTTTCGGGTGTCCCATAGCTTCTTTTGTTCTTCTCGGGGTCCACATGTCCCAGTGTTTAAAATTCGATTGTAAAGTTGTCTTTCCTCTTGTCCATTTATTTATCATGGAGGAAACCAGCTCCTTTTAAGGCTCCCCAGCCTTTCTACTGACCTAAAGCAAACATGACATTTGTCTGTATTTCTGAAGGACCTTTGTCATCTTAGGATGGTGGAAAGCCTGAGAACCAAACTATAACTAAACCCATACAGAAGATATCTCCATGAGTACCACCTACCTGACTGTACATAATCTGTTGCTGTTTTAAGGTTTCAAAGTCCAGTTTATGTAACTGATTGTTGAGATGCTTCAGAGTGGAACGAGTTCCTTCAATTTCTGATACAAGAGCTTTTTCTTTCACTTTCTCGTTCTGTAACTCCTGGACTTTCTTAAAAAACACGTCTTTCACTATGTTCAACTGAACTTCCACTTCCTGATAATAAGAATTATAGTGCTTAAGGAAATAACAGTATCTTGAAATGTTTTATTTATAATTGTAATTTAGGTTTTCAAAACCAATGAGACTTTCTTGTCAACACTGTAGCCCCTGATATTACAAATCTTTTTCCTACAATTTCAACAAATTTCCAACATTTCTTACAGTCTATCATAGCAGACTAGATTAATAGGTTTTCTATTCCTGTGTCACATACCTTCACCTGTCATCTTAATCCCACTCCACATTTCCCTAGCCTCAGAACTAAGGTCCTGCACTGATTCCGTGGAGGAGAGGAAGAGAGAGAACCACTGGCGACAAACTGCATGTAGGTTCAGAGTTCACTGGAGTCGAGGTTACAAGGGGGAAAATACTACATCACTCAACCTCCATCTTCTTGGAAGCACTATCAAGTGATGATCAGGTGTAAATCATCAGTTCTCCAATGGATGAGAAGCAAAGAAGAAAATACGAATTGAATGGTGTAAACAATCCCACATGACCAGGCTACTAACATGACTCTGCTACATGCAGAAGTGGGAAAAGATACAAAAGAAAAGACCACTGTGTAGTGTTTCCAATGCACAGATATAAGAGATGTTAAACCATTTTAACACTAAGGGCATCGATAACAGTCAACTACACAAAACAACCTAGAAATGATGAATGTATTTTATTACTTTTATTTTGGATATCATTTATTAAAGTATAAGCCTATATCATATGATTTTTTTCAATAGTAACTATGGTTAGTACCCAACTACAAAGTCCTGAAATTTTAACTCCTAGGCTTTGTGAGCCACAGGAGATGGCGCAGGACAAGATTGGCATCACCCTCATCACGCACATTTTACTTCTGGTTGATCTCAATATTATGTGCAGTCTTCTGGAAAAGAGGGACAAACCCTAATTCCCACTGTCCCCCCAACACAGATATAACTTTACCTAGAGGCTTCACAACCAATATGTTCTAGATTTCTAGTTACCCCAGTGAATTGACAGCTATCAGTTTTAGATGTTAAAATAACTTATTTCTAAGCTATCACATACAAATAAACATACTTTTTCTTTCCCAACCAATGAAACTCAAAATGAAGCAAAAGAAGTTTGTGACTGATACTGAACTCTTTACAAAGCAAGAAAATCTGGTATTCAGTGCATTATCTTTCATATAATAGATAACTGCCATTGAGTTTAAGAGCTTCCAAAAGGTGGCCTGGCAGTTTTACAGTCATTGTTTGGTGACGTGTAAGAGTCTATCCAAAAAAGTAGAGTTGACCTTTTTCCAAATGAACAAAATCAACAGCAACAAAACCAAGATGACCAGCACAAGCCTGCTACATACAGTACCAGCATTGCACTAGCTCTCTATTTTTCTTGTAATTCAGCCAATTTCTTCAAAACTGTAAGAAGTTTTTGTTCCCAGTGATCAAAAGGCCAAATTCATATGAATTTCACAGTCTTTATGGGTTTCTAGTAAATTCCAATACTGCCCCATTTCATATGCCATAAATACAACTTTTTTAAAATGTAAGATTTGAACTCAGATACCATGTAAGTCAAAAATACTACATGAGTTCATTACTCAGAAACTTTACAGAATCCTGAGGAAACTGAATTCTGTCCAAATAAAAATAGAAGCATTAAGCTTCATAGAATGTTCAGGGATTTTGCTCACGCCTCTTCTGTCCCCCAAAATAGAGTAAAAGCAAGAAATACCACCCACCATGAGATGTCACACTTAGAGGTCACTCTGAAGTTTCCAGAAGTAGAAATGGTGAACCAGCCTTTCCTGGTTTCTCAGGAATTTGCTTAATGGTACCACTGCACCAGAGATTGGGGTAGAACATGGTGCAGGATAGTTAGTAAAGTGATACACTTCAGGGTCCTTGTGCCAAAACGTGTGCCAGGGATTAAAATATAATCGATGATTAGAATACAGACAGTGAATATCGGTAGTGCTGGAGATTGAGCCCAGGGCCCTCACACTGAGTTACACACCCAGAGCCCTTTTTGCATTCTTTATTTTGAGACAGGATCTGGCTAAGCCACTGACTCTCCCAGGCTAGGCTGGTACTTGTGATTCTCCTACCTCAGCCTCCCATAATGCCTGCCCAGCAAGCATAAGGTCCTGAGTTCGATTCCTGGTTACTCTCCCCCAAAAAAGGAGACACCAAAGTTAAATGCTAAAAATGTAAGGACCCTCCTAAAAAACTTTCTAGTCCTCTAATTAGAAAGGGTCTAATTAATTAATCTTTAAAGAGTTGAATTCATTACTGGTAAGTTTGCTGTACATTTAAAAAATTACATTTAACTGTACCTTTACACTCTTTTCCTCTTCCTTTAGCATATCTTCCAAATTGGTGGCTTTCTCTTCCACAGACATGGTTTTCTGAGTTATCTGATTCAATCTTTTTTTAATGATCTGATTATGATTTTTAAATTTTTGTAACCTAGATAGGGAGAAGATGGGGGAAATGATAGAAAACATGCCTAGAAAATATTCAATGAAAACAAATAAGGGTTTATTATGTCTATATAATTAGGTTTCTTTGACTACAAAATCCTTTTTATTATCACTATCTATCAGAAAAACTCAAAATATTTCACTTGAGTTTTTGTGATTAAAAAAAGCCAGGAAATTTTTAAGCTTAATAATCCAGTAGCTATAATGCTGCAAATATTTAACAAAATATAATCTTAAGTATTGTAATAATTTTCTAAAAATACTAAAAAATTTAATCATTTAAATAGATTTTTTTCTTACCTTTGTCTTTCTTCCTGACAGTCCTTCTTTATTTTGGAAATATTTTTCCTCAAAGCTTCTAAATCACTGGCAGTTCTATTCACAGTGGCTTTTAAAGAATCTAGCTGCGTATTAGTTAACAGATAAAAATTACATATTTACTCTACATGTTATAGTCTCATTACTGAGAATTTCTATTCTGGCCACTTTAAGTTTTAACCTATACCACACCCACAGAACAGTAACTCTTGTATTAATATATATTTACAGATCTTATTACTTATTCTCATATCAAATTTTAAGTGGTTTTTATAATATAAAAAAATTAGAAATAGCTACATATATTGAAAAGTAACTGCAAAAGTGTCTAATATCCTGAGCCTTGCTCAAGAAGAACACAGCGTTCAAAACAAACTTATGTATATGTATGAAAAGCTCGTGATAATCAGAAGTTTAGTTGGATTTGGAAAAAATCTCAAGAGATTCATCGTCCTTCTACTACATACATCCTCCTAAGGACACACATTTTACAGTTAATCAAAATTATTAAAACAAATCTAAAGTACACACTTTCTCCTTGGTAAGAACACTGGCAAAAAACTAAAGACTCCACCCTAAGAAATCAGATCTAATAAATTTGATAAAGTTGTAGGATACAATATCAACATACAAAGATCACTTCATTTTTATATACTAATGATGAATTTTCTGAATAAGAAAGTTTTTAAAATCCATTTGTAACAACAAAAAAAAAAGAATCAAATGCTTAGGAATAAATTAAACTAAGGAGATAAAAGATCTGTACAATGAAAACTATAAAATATTAATTAAAGACATTATATAATATAGGGCTAGGATTTAGCTCAAAGGTGTCAGTGCCTGCCTGGCAAGGGCGAGGTAGCAAGTTCGATCCCTGGTACCAAAAAAAAAAATTATGTAATACATAGATAAATGGAAAGATATTCCACTTGATGGACTGGAACAAATTATATTGTAACAATGTTCATGCCACCTAAATCTCTCTATAGATTCAATACAATTCCTACCAAAATTCCAATGTTATTCCTCAGAGAAACAAGAAAAAAAGCTGAAATTTATATGTGATCACAAACGACTTCAAAGAGCTAAAGAAATCTGGAGCAAGAAAAACAAATCTGGAGTAAATATACGTCCTGACTTCAAACTACCTTACAAAATTACGGTAATCAAAACAATATGCAACTAGCATAAGAACAGACATATTAAGAAATGAAACAGAAGAGAGTGACTAAAAATAAGTCCATGCATATACAGTCATCTAATTATCAATGAAGATGCCAAGAAATCACAATGGGGAAGGGATAGCCACTTCCCTAAATAGTTTCAAGAATAATGAATACCTACATGCAGAATAATAATATAGGGCCTTTCTCTTTTTCCATATATAAAACAACTCAAAATGGATCAAAGATCTTAAAAGTAAAATCTGATACCAAAAAACTTCTAGGAGAAAACATACAGGAGAAGGTCCTTGACTCTGGTGTCCACAATAACTCTTTTTGATACACCATTAAAAAGACAGACCACAAAAAACAAGTGGGACTGTCCAAACAAAAAGTTTCTGTTCAGCAAAAGGAATGATCAAAATAAAAAGGCAACATACAGAGAGTGATAAAATACTTACAAATTATCTAGTAAGGGATTGATCTCCAAAATATATAAGAACTCTTGCAACTCAATAGTAACAATAGCAATAACAATGATGACACAGTTTAAAAATGGACCTGAACATTTTTCCAAAGAAGACATCAAATGACCAACAGGTGTATGAAAAGATATTCAATGTCACTTAATTATCAGGAAAATACAAGTCGAACTATTGTGAGGTATCACCCAGTAATTGCTAAAATGGCTTCTATGAAAAAAAAAAAAATAAGTGCTGGCCAAGATGTGGAGAAAGAATATTTTCATGCTTTTGAGTGAAATGTAATATGTTATAGCCATTATGAAAAACAGTATAGAAATTCCTCAAAGAAACTGAAAATAGAACTACCATATAATCTAGGATTCCTACTTCTGAGTATATAGCCAAAGGAAATAAAACCAGTACATTGAAGAGATCTCTAGATTCCCATATTCTTTGCAGCATTATACATAAGAGCCATGATAGGGGAAAAATCTAAGAGTTCAATAACATGCTCGAGAGGAGGGAGGGACCAGACCACTCTACACCAACCGGGGAATGGCAACTACAACCATAAGGGAGCAGTACGAAAAGTCCCCAAGAATTAAGAATAAAAGTATCCTCTGATCATGCTATACCATCCTTAGCAGACATCCAAAGGAATTAAACACAGCATACAGTACTGACAATGCATATTCATGTTTCCTCTTCCATATTTCACAATAACTAAGCTGTAGAAACAGTTTGGATGCCCATCAGCAGATGAATAATAGAGAAAATATGGTATCTACACACAAGGGATCCTTGCTCAGCCATAAAAAATAATGAAATCAGGTCATTTGCAGGAATAAAGATAGAACTGGAAATCATCATGCTAAGAAAAATAAGCTAGACTCAATTAAATATCACATGTTCTCTTATATGAGCAATGTAAAAGAAAAATAACACAAGACAGGGAACACTAGATTTCTAGAAATAAAGAAGGAGATCATAGAGGGGAAGGAAAATGTAGAGATGAAAATAATCAAAATATATTACATGCATTTACCAGTATGCCAAAAACAAATTACTAATTTGTTTTACTATATTATTAATTTTAATTATTGTATTACTAATATGGACTGATAAAATATTATGTAAGACTGCCAGCAGTACATTAACATCCACAAAATGATGCTTTGAATATAGTCTTAAAGTGAATGATAATATTTAAAAACAGAACCAAAAGCTAGTTCCTTAAGAAAAGGATTTATACTGTTTTTATACCAACTGCCATAACAAACCAGTGTTTTTAGTTGACATACCTCATCCTTCAGTTGAATTCTACTGGTTTCATGATCTTGATATTGTGTTCTAAATTTTAAAACTTTACGATCAGCAGCAGAAATTCTTTTCTCATATTCTACATTATTGCCAATTTCATTTTCCAAAAACTTTATCTTTTCTTTAACCAAATTTTCTTTTTCTTTTATTTCCTGTTTTATCTCTGTCAATGCCTAGAATCAAAACAAATACATTTACTTAAATATTTGTTTAATGTGAACGAACTAAAATGAAGAAGAATTTAGTTTTTATTGTTTCATTATTATAGTCAATGTTTATTTAACATTCTTAAAAGAACACGTTTTAAGATATTTTTATATAACTAAAAATAAAATATCAATATGCTACACGTTGATAGTTATAAATTGATATTGTTCCAAAGTTCATCTATCTGAAACTTTGCTAAAGATATGAGAAAAGCAGTGTACTTATATGCATAAAGGGTAACATCTAAAAAAATGTAACAGCACTAAACATTTCTTCTCAGGGCCAGGAATATAGCTCAGCCTGGATATAGCTCAGACCAGGCACAAGCGCCTGCCTGGCGAGCACAAGGTCCTGAGTTTGATTCTTGGTACCAAAAAAATGGCAACACACTCGGGACAGCTTCTGTCTGTCACTCAGACAGAAGCTTTCTTTCTCTGAATAAATATATTCTGTTCTTAAATAAATATTTCTTTTCAAACAGAAATTTGCATTTCCATGAAAGTTTCCAAATATTTTACAGATCAGTATTTTTCATCTTTCAAAAGTCATGTTTTAGTTATTGGTTGTTAAGAATATCTTCACTTTGGCTTGTTGGTAGTCTTAAGAGCCAATAAACAGGTCTGCAATGAAATGTGGAGAAAGTACTATGGAAAAAGGCATGATGACTTTCACCCGAGAGGACCGTAGGAGACACTGCTCGAGGGGCACCACCTGAGTCAGGTCTACAAAAATGATGGGGGTGTATCAGAACTCTGAGGTGGCTAAGGTGGAGGGTTGAGAAGGCGCATATATGAAGAAAGAGTAGGGCAGAGATGAAAAGCATGAGACTGGAAAGGGAGAATTTAATGCCAGTGTGGGATGGAAGTCAAACGTCACGGTCAACCTTTAAGCCTTGTGAAATGAGATTTTAATGCTGGGAAACAAAAAGACCAAACGAGGTTTTTACAAGTAATACAATGGCAATAACTCTGACAAATTATAGGGAAAATCACCCTGAGATATAGTTCTTCTGTTTTCCCAAAAGGTATCTTACCAAACAATTAATCCTAAGAGACAGGGGGAGTAATGTGAATTCTGAAATCACTAAGTTTCTGAAATGCTGTGTGTAATATTTTACATATTAGCCTATTAAAAGGATGCATATGTGAGATGTAATATATTTTTAAAGACATTTTAAATTTGTTTAATGTAGTAGTCCTAAATGTTCTCCATAACAACACATTTACAATGACAGTTGTACGAATCCACATAGTTATTGTGCTCATTCAACCAAAAAGCATGTAAAAATTTTTAGTTTTAAATATTTCAAATGATCATTCTACAGTTGCTTGCTTTTTATTGACTTCTCTACCACTTGAGCAGACGCTGTGACACCCACTGCAACATTCATATTTCTTAAAAGCATTATTCATGGCAAAGTTTCCACAGAGGCAACAGCAGAAAAATATTTTCCCTTTCTAAATATTGTTTCTTTTAAGAAGCCAATTTCAGGGTCAAATAGCCAGACTTCCCAAGAAGGCACTAAGAGGACAGGCATTGTTTTCCAACGAAAGAGACAAAACAGAACCATTTCACTTGCACAAGATCAAAATAAAATGTTCCAACATGTGCCACTTCCACATATTGATCATTCTGAGTTAAATGCACTTGAAAAGTAGCAGTTCCCAAGAAAGATCTCTGACCCCTCCCTCCAAAAACACAAGCAATAAAACTCCTCTCTGAAAGGTACCTTCCCAGTGCCAAGAAGAAAAACATTCTTATTACCAGAGTCAAGACCAGTAGAAATTTGTACAAATAAATCGTGTTAAACTACTTCCTATCTTCCCAGTTCCTCTTCCACAACTGCCCCGTTTTGTTCAAACCTGTATGTAAGCATTCAGGTCTACTCAAATAATTCTTTGAGTTGTCATTTTTCTTATGCAAGCTCCTTAGATATGTAAATAAAATCTGTATGCTTTTTTCTATTAATCTATGTTATGTCAGTCCTAGCCAGAAACCCTAAGCTGGCAGAGAAATTTTATCTTCTCTACACAGACTAAATGTTCTAATGGTAGGGATCAGCTGTCCTTCACCCAAAACAATTGATGTACACATTTCTTCTCAACTCTGCATTCAGTGGAGTCATGTTGGTATAGAAGTTGCTCCATCATAGAAATGCTTAAGGATAGGTGTTATTATATTTTGTTTTATTCTCAAGAAGCATTTATTAAACACTTAGCAGCCCCTATCACCTAAAGAACCACTTCCTAAAGCCCCTCCTTGTCTCTGACAACACAATCGCATGTTCACCAGTAAATAAGATACACTAGAAATAAAACCAAACAGTCATTATTTGTGTATTCTGCCAAATCAACAGACTAAGTAAATCAGTTATGAGTTCGCATGAAAATGCTAATTATGGATCTATAATCTTGGCTCTCATACATCTGATATATATAGAGAAAACTCTGGTACTTTTAGTTTACATAGGAGAAATAGGACTTGATATTTGAAAGCAATAAGAAATTTAAAAATAGCTACCACTATCAGCATTAAGAATTAAGAATATCTTAGTAAAATTGGTTCTCCCTCATTGGAGGTATTGCCTACTTTGTTAGCAAAATACCATCTCTTGCAGAAATTTAAAATAATATACTCACAGGTAAGCCATGACTAATTACTAGAATGCTAATGTCCCAGTGGCCTGGGCTGGTTGCCTTTTCATGAGATAAATTCAGAGTACAATTTAACACATCTCCTCACCCACTTTCTTTCCTCTTCAACCTCTTTATCCCAGTCCCTCCAAACCTCTCCACTTTTACTCACCCATCTTTCATTCCTTAATGACTTCTCAATTACCTCTCATGACTGCTAAATTACCTCTAAAAGTAACAAGTATGGGGCTGAAGATTTAGCTCAGTGGTGCAGTACCTGCCTGGCAAGCATGAGCTCCTGAATTTGATCTCCAGTACCCAAAAGAAAACAAGAAAAGTAATGAGTGATAAGAGTAGGTCTGTACCTCCCCTTCTGATTTTCTACATCATTGGTGCCCTCACCTTTAACAGTAACACTTTTTTGGCTGTCTAGGTTTCTTGTCTGAATCTCCCTCTTTGTCTCTTGGTTATCTACCAAGGTTCATTTCCCTAAAACTGTACCTAACTGCCAAAATACCACATTTGTTAAATCCTAGGCATCGGAAGTTTGACTGATAGTGCAGGCCACAGCAGCTTGACTGACCTAGAGGGGAGGTTGCACAAAGAAATGCAGTGCACGTCACAGCAACTTGACTGATCCTTGCGCCACTGCACTCCAGCTGCCGCCTGGGCGCCTCCGGGCCACCAGTGAGACCTGTCACCATGGCCCAGGAGTAACTGGGCAGCCACCAGCTGTCCCCACCCCTGACCCCACAGCCACCGACTCCGAGGGGAGGTGGCGCAAAGTCCACTGCCACCACCGCCGCCACTAACACCGCCACCGCTGCCCGCCACCACCATCCTCCAGCCGCAGCCAAACAGAGGGGAGATGATGCAAAGTAATACAGTGCAGGCCACAGCGCTTCACTGATCTGGAGGGGAGGAGCCAGCATACACTGTCCCTGTCTGCAACTCACTTAGCACACTGCAGTGGGAAGGGTCACCCAGCCAGCACGCTTCAGAAGAATTGTAACTGACAAAGAAAGAAACTGGGGCCTCCTGGAAGCAGCAAAAAATATGGGAAGAGGAAGCAACAAGAAAAAGTCCCCAGGTCCCAGCCCTGAGAACATTGACCCAGGACAGGTAAATACAAAGGAGAAAGAACAGCAAACATGCAATATCAGACACAGCCCCAGTGGACATAAGGAGATATATTTGGGACCTCATAGACAAGTTCAAAAGTGAAAGATTTAGACAAATAAAGCAAGATATAAGAAAATTAATTAAAGAGATACTAAGCACCCCTCAAGCAGACACAGACGGAAGAAAGGAGGAACTCAAACAAAGGAGAGAACCATTTGGTGAAGAATATAAAAAAATATAGAATACATGAAGCAGATTCAAAGAGATCACCAGGAAATTAAAACTCTATGGAAATACGGCAATTCAGCTTGAAAGAAACTAAGGATAGATTATCCAAACTGGAGGACAATTTTGTAAAGTGGGAGTATGAAAAGGAAAACATTTTAAAAATAACAAGGAAACAAGCAGTAACAATACAAAAGCTAGAAGATGACAAAAAGATCTATAACTTGGGAATAAAGAATGTGAATGAAGAAGCTGGGGTACAAACAAAGGAACTACAAAGGTTATTTACAGAAATAATTAAGGAAACTTCCCAAACATAGGAAAAGGAAATGATATTCTGTTTTTGAGGCATACAGAACTCCAGCCACCTACAACCAAAACAGAGCTACACCCAGGCATATAATAATCAAGATCCCAGAAATTCAATATAAGAACAGAATATTAAAAGCTGTTAGAGACAAGAAACAGATAATCTATAGAGGAATGCCCATCAGAATAACGGCAGACTTCTCAACACAAACCATCAAGTCAAAAAGAGCCTGGAGTGAAATATTCCAAGCCCTGAAAGAAAATAACCTCCAGCCTAGATTGAAATACCCTGCTAAACTGTCTCTAGAAATTAATGGAGAAACAAGATGCTTCCAGGACAAAGAGGAACTTGGGAAATTCGCAACCACCAATCCAGCTCTACAGAGAATACTGCAGGGCATTCGAGAGAGAGAGAAAAGTACTAGGATTCCAGGAACAGTGGCAGAGAGGCCTCAACGAATGGAGCAGAAAACAGAATGAAGAAGATAAGCAAACAACTGATGGCAAACAAGAGCATAACAGAAATGAGGCAGAAAAGATTTTATTCAAAACTGATATGATTGATAGTAGCAAGTCTGAGAGTATCGGCAACTACACTGAAAATGACAAGACTCTACAACACACATTCTGGTTTGATAACTGCTGGTTTTTGAAGTTCTATACTACATACAAAGTTGTATTTTTATTAATACTGCTATGTACTAATATATTAAATTATACTATCTCTGATGATATAGGCATTTATATTGGAGATAACAAAAGACAACACAGGAACCATTGAAGAACTCTTTGTACAACAGTCTTATATGTTTATTTCATTTCATGTGTTTATGGGAATATGTTTTGTTTTGTCTTACTTTGTTTTGTTTCTTCCTCTAAGATAGAAAGGATAGAAATACATGTTAAGACTCGTGCATGTGTAGAATTTATAAACAGTTTATGAGAACTGATCCTATGACACATGATGAAATGAACAGATACCTTAAAGAAAAAGAGACACTAAAATACCCAGTGCTGATCCTGGAGTATCATAATGTGAAACCCAGCAATAGTATTATTCCTTGTTCAAAGTGATATTAGCCTGCTTGGTTTTATTCAGTGTCAACATAATTGAAGATATGGATAACTGCATGTATGTTTAAGTGTATAGGATTGATAACCATATTTCTAAGTTTTTGTTGGACAGTTGAACAGAACTAGTTGCAGTCTCACTGTTTGAATCCTCACTTTATAGACTCCACTTTAGTGTTTTGAATAACTATTTGTAAGAAGACAATCTGTAATCATCAACTAGTGATTTCTTACTGTTTATTTTTTCTTTGAAATTATGTATTATTTCTACCCGTTTTCTGTTTTGTTTAGTCTTTCTTAAAAAAAAAATTAAATCCTAGGCATCATGGACAACCATGTGTAAGATAACACACTGGTTTTATGGCAATAATATTTTCTTCACAATTAATAGATGGTAGGTTCCAATCTTGACCATTATTATACTGTAAGCAAATAATCTTCATAAAAATCACTTTTCTAAATGGATAAAGGGTCAGCTTTGAAAAAGATTTACCAAGACAACAAAGTCTGCTGCAAAGTGACTTTTGTTTGGAATAATAAGTTAAACACAGAGGCAAACATATCTGAACATTACAACAGCCAAACTACTTTACCAAAGCACAGTCATCTATGTCTCGATCCCTCTTCTGCATCTGTTGAATTGTGTTCTCCCACTGATCAATGAGTTCTTGTCTTTCATTATGAATCTTACGAAAATCTTGAGCTGCTTTATCTAGTTCTAACTGTCAAATAGAGAAAAATAACATTTCTGAGCATATAAATGCTTTTGCAAACATCAACTTGAAAATTAAGAATAAAATCTTCCATGGACCAACCTGGGCACTGAGAGTCTCTGTAAGTTCGTTGTCAAGAACCTTTCGTTTCTGATTACATTCTAAGGTCAGTCTTTCTAACTTCAGGGTCAGTGCCTATGATGTGATTATACACAAAATATTTGTAATTATTATTCTCTCGTTTAAAAGCTATTAGATATAACTATTATTATTCGTACATATTTATGTCTAAAACAACTATAAAATGATGTTTTCCTTATCTTTTAACCCTAAGGGGCTAATTTGTTTTTATAGAGATTCATAAACATTGAATTGTTTCTAAATAATTTTAATAATAATTTCTAATAATTTCTAATTTCTAAAGGAAATCAGAAAAAAGGTTAAATTGTAATACATCATTTGGAAATACCTAAAATGGTACATTTGGTTTTAAATATCTGAGAAGAGAGCAGACTTTGTAACACTGACTTTGCTAGTGTCCTAAGATGTAAGTGGATCTCAAGAAATGGGTTAGAATATCACTCACTAGCATTACAGCAATTCAGCAAACAATATATGTAATACCCAAACTTTAAACAAAATAAATATCAATAAATGGTTCTACTATAAGACTTTCTCTTCTACAATGCTTCCAAGAAGCCTTCTACATCAGAATATCAATTACAATCTATCATTTCTCACCCTAATTTTATTATCATCTTGTTGTGCATATTTCTGAAGAGTGAAGGCATCACTGTCTTTATGAGCTGATTCTTCTAACCAAGCCTCCAATGCTTGCTGGTCCCAGTTCATTTGACATTTCAAACCATCCAGTTTTTGAGTGGCTTTAAATATGCCATTCTAATTTCCAAGGAATGTAAGAGAAAAGAAAAATTGCAACAGATTATGTATTATACAAACTGTAAGAAAACATATTACAGACTAGAGACCACATTCAGAAGAAATCCTGTCCCTGCCTTCCAGATGTTTATAGTATACTATTTTTAATTATATAGCTACTATCCTTGTAAATTGCGAAATAGAGATTTGAATATACAAAGCTGAGAACAGAAGCTAATAAAAGTTTTCTTTAAAAGGCTTTAGACTTTTAAAATAATGTCAGTTATTCCACCAAAGTCAGCCAAAATACATACATATATATATATATATATATATATATACATGCAATCTTAATTAGAATAATAGCCTTAATATGCTAAAACCCATTACAAGTTCCTTCCCATCAGCCCATTTCTAATCATTTTGCTCCCCTTAAGAGGTCTCATGTGTTGAAACTTTGGGAGCACCTCTAATTTTACAGTCGTGAAAGAAACAAAAATATTTCTGTAAATTTAATCATTTACCAAATATAGATTCATAAAAGAAACGCAAGAACAATATATAAACAAATACAAATTAATAGATACATAGTTATATTGCATATATAATGTATTATAAAATATGTATGTATGTGAATGTATACGTACTTATGTATGCATATTTATGTATACAAGCATATGTAAAGAGAAGAATAAAAACATTTGAAAACAGCTCCCAAATCAAGTAACTGAAAACTAAAAAATGGGAAATAGTTTTAGGAAGCTTAACATTAGAATCACAAAGCTTAGAAATAAACACAAAAAGTAAAAATTTTAAATTAAATTCAAAACTAAAATTGATGTGGGCTGTAAAACTGTAACACTGGTGTGTTAGCAAGGCCTAGTATTTTACAACAGGTGGCCAGCACGACACTTTAAATCAGCAAGTCTCAGACAGTAAGCAATAAGTGAACAAGGGGGGAAATGTGGTTTTTCATCATCATTTCATTCAACCACAGCTCCGTATCATTTCATTGTCTAAGACAACAATTTAAGTAAATGTCAAGAAACAAATGAATTCCTTTCCTATACAGAAATGAAAAGCCCATTTGGTGAGACAGAGGTCCAGCAGCACAAACGGTCAGCATACTTCTTTGTCCGTCTTCCGTTCTCGGATAGTAGCCATCTCATTTTCTAGTCGCTGTATTTCATTCCTTACTCGGCCCAGTTCTCTTTCAGCAATGGCCTTAAAATGTTCTTCACTTTCAATCTCATTCTCCCTTGCTTTGTAAAGAGACTAAGGAGTAACACACAAAACAGAAATACTTTAAATTTTATTATGAAACATTTGTAATAATCCATTAGGCAAAATGAAGATCCTTCCAACACTCAGATTAAGCACTATTAAGTCCTCTATGATGACACCTTGCCATTAGACTGTGATCACAGTGTGGCTGATATTGCTCGATAGTGGTAAGAAAGCCAGCCCATGGCCTCCCAGAGGAAAGGCCACCATCAGTCTTCAGATACCATGTTCATCTAGCAAGACTAAAGAAAATAAAAGTTTATGTGCTGGGATCTAAAAACTGTAATTCATTATTTACCTGTAAGTAAGAAATAATTTTTAAAAATAAACATAATTGGGAAAGGAATATTTATATTTTTGATCACATATTTTAATTAACAGACATTTTAAAATAATTAAAAACTATTGGTAGCTGGGCGTGGTGGCTTATGCTTGTAATCCCAGCACTCAGAAGGCTGAGGCAGGAGGGTTGCTGCAAGTTCAAGACCAGCCCTGGGCTATAAAGTGCACACAAGGCCAGCCTGAACTGCATAGCAAGACCCCCATCTCAAAAAAGACAAAAAAAATGGTGGTAAATACTTCTTAGAATATATTAGACTACAATTATACCTTTGGTTTTTTTATGTAACAAAGAATTTCTTGACTAGTGATCTTATAGTGCCTCAAAGATAATACTCTTTTTTTTTTTTTTGGGAAGGGAGGTTTCAGGAATCAAAATCATGACCTTGCATCTGCTAGGTAGGCACTTATGAGGCTCCCCAGCCCCAAAGTTAATGCTCTCAATGTTAATTTTATACTAGTAGTACTATAGTTACTACTGTTGCAGGAAGTGTATCATCTTTTATCTCTATTTAATCCAGGATTGTTTATTCAAGTTTGATTGCATTAAGATATACCAACAGTGATTCTATTTCTCAGGTTCCCAAATAACTAGTTTAATAACCTAAGGAAAACAACTGTTCCAAACAGTTTTTTCTATTATTCAAACTAAGGATTCAAGAATCACGAGTATTGTTTTCATTAATATGTAACATCCTAATAAGATTTGCAAACTATTAAAGATACCTATTTTGATTCTAAGTTTTTTTTAAAAACATGGCTTTATTCATTTTTAAGATTTATAATTTCCTCCATACCTACCACCACTGAGGCAACTGCTTTCCTCAGAAAACTAGCACAGGCTGGGAGAAACAGCCAGATATGCCCTGTGCTCCCACAGGATGTCATTAGAGATGCTAGGCTCCCACAGGCAGCCAGAGTGAGCCAGGAGAATCAGACAAACATGCCCCTGTGTGCCTGTTGCCATGAGAAAAGTGCTGGTGTAGGTACACAGGGATGAGAGAAGAAACAGTGCCCTCACCACGCATCCATGGCCATCAGGGAAGCCTCAGTATAGCCGTGCGGGTCTGCAGAAGCTCGCCCCATATCCCACTCCCTCTCTGGGAAACTAGGTTCAGAGAAACCCAAGTTCCCCCATACCACGGTGGGGCAGCCAGCACAAAGGCCTGGGACCCCACAACTAGTGTGTCAAGGCTATCTCAGACAATGGAGTAAAAGGCTATCTCAGACCTCTAGCCCACACAGAACAAGTGTGGGAGATTAAGACATGGAAAAAAGTGGAAGTCACACACCTGAAATCTCTGGAAGGATAGCAACTTAGGAAACAACTTCATGAGACAGTAAAAGCAATCATATCAGAAATAATTCAGATAAAAGAAGAAATCTCAAACATAATGAAATAATTGCTGAGCATGTCTAAAGAAGACATAGATTAAAAAGAGGAGCATAGGAAAATGATGGAAACCTTGAATTAACAATATAGGAACCAGCGGCATGAGCGCCTGCCTTGCAAGCAGGCAGTCGTGAGTTCGATCCCTGGTACTGATAAAAACGAAAAAGACAAAAATAAATAAAAAACAATATAGGAAGGAATTACAATGCATGAAACAGATTCAAAGAGATATCCATAAAATTAAAAATTCCATCAAAAGCTGGCAAAACCACTTGAGAAACTGAAGAAAGACTTTCACACCTTGAACACAGGACTATAGCTAGCAATCATAAAAGAGAAGATCTCTTAAAAAAAAAAAGAACCAGGAAATAACAATTCAACAGCTTTAAGATGACACAAAGAAAAATAATTTAAGACTGATAAGTGTCAGTGGAAAAGCAGGGGCAACACAAATAACATAAACAGACTATTTACAGGAGTAATAGCAGAAAACTTCCCAAACATGGGAAAAGTACTTGGCATACAGATAAGTGAGGCATATAGGACTCCCACTAGAAAAACCCAAAATAAATCTATACCCAACATATAATAATCAAGATCCCAAAAATTCAGCACAAGAACAGAATATTAAAGGCTGTTAAAGAAAATAAACAGACGACCTAAAAAAGCAAAATTATCAGAATCATGGCAGACTTCTCAATACAAACCATTAAGTCAAAAAGATCTTGCAGTGAAATGTTCCAAATCCTGAAAGAAAACAACTTCCAACACAGACTGATGTACAAAACTTTAGTAGGCTTTATGGCTTCAAGATATCTTTCAAAATTGCAAAACTATCTTTCAAAATTGATGGAAAAATAAGATACTTCCATGATAAATAAAAACTAAAGGAATTCATTACCACTAAACCAACCCTACAAAGAGCACTAAAGGACATTCTAGAAAGAGATAAAGATGACCATAATTCCAGGAATAGCAGCAATGGGTGATCATCAAACAAGCAATTGAGTGGAGGGGAAAAGTTGGGGGCCAACAGCAGGAAGATAGCATGGCTGAGATGAGCCAATGCATTCCATTAATATAGATGGCCTCAATTCACCAATAATAAGAAACACAAAGACAGTGAATCAAAAAACAACATCCATCAATATGTTGCATACAAGAAACTCATTTAACTCAAAAGAAAATTCATAGACCAAAAGTCAAAGGAGAGAAACCAATGTTCCATGTGACAGGAGACCAGAAAAAAGTAAGAATAGCTTGTCTATCAACTGCAGAATGAATAAGAAAGATACGGTTACTTTTATACATTGGGAAACTACTCAGCTATGAAGAAGGATAATCTTGAGGCTCTTGTAGATAAATGGGTACAACTTGATACCATGTTTATGGATGAAATGATTCAGACACATGTTATCTCTCTAGCATAAAAAACTGAAGGAGTTGGTGGAATCTAAAACGTACAATAGATACTGTAAAAGTGATAGGGAAGGACACATCTAAAAAGGGAAGCTGGTAACCTCTGTTAATTTCATATTATCTTGTTTTAAATTCCTGTATCGTTTTCATTGTTTTCTTAGGTTTGTTTTTATTCTGTCTTGTTTTGTTTGATTTTATTATATCTGGTGGTACAGGCAGCTATTTAGAAGATAACAAGATGTACTGAGCTAGCCACTCTTGACTTCCTATTATCTGGTTTTAAGTCCTGTAATGCTTTTATTCTTTTGTTTTGACTGGTTTTATTCTGTTTTGTTTGGTTTGGTTTTATTATGTCTGGTGGTATGGACAGCTGTTTTGAAGAAAATAAGAGACAGTCTGGTAGCCACTGTTGATTTCCAATTATCTTGATTTAAAGTCCTGTGTTGCTTTCATTGCTCTGTTCTGATTGGCTTTATTCTGTTATATTTTATTTGGTTTTATTCTCTTTAAGATAAAAATAATTTTTTCTCAGAGAAGCAGTGAACATTTTTTTTAAATTGACAGGAAAGTCCAATGTTTATTTATCAAGTTATTCTGGGCATCATCAGGGAGTGAATCCCCTACACTTAACTAGATTATTCTTAAAATAGAAGCTTATTTTATTACTTCATTTTAATTATATTTGTGCTATTTCTAGGATACACTTCCAATCCATCTTAAAGAGTGTTAATTGAACTTTTTAATCTCATTATTATTGCTAAAATTTTAATTCTTGAACTATACTAAAGTATCTTGAAGCCATAAAGCCTACTAAAATGTGTAGAATGGTTTGGGTTGAAAAACTGAAAAACAGATAGAAAACTATTCTGCATTATATTAGTTCTGTTTCCGCTTATAGGTATCATTTGTCATTGCCACTGTTAAATTCTTCTTATCTAAATCTGCTACTGTTACATGATATTGCATGGCTTCTCCTTTAATACGAAGTTTTGTTTAAAATTGGTAATAGTTGTTCCTCAAACTTTTTTTCTATCTACTTTAACATTCAAGGTTAGGTTCCCAATAGTAGCTAGCTTTCTATTGTATCTCTAACATAAAATCATACACACCAATTGACTGTGAAATGTTCCATAACTACACGTATATAATCAACATAAATTTCAATATTGTCATACCTGTGTAAATGAGAATTCTTGCTTAACATTTTTCAAGTGAGAATTCATAGCATTAATTCGCTCTTCATAGTCATGTAGCTGATCTTGCAAGTTTGATCTTTCATTCTGCAGCTTTGATAACTGTAAATAATAAATACTATGATCAATCAAAATCCTATTAATTTTACCATATTAAAGGACCTAAAAATCAAAAGGAAATTAAATGTTCTGCCACAGTATGTTCAAGATGTTATAACAAAAATACCATGGACTTGGTGGTTTAAACAAAAATTTGTCACAACTTTGTTGGCTGAGAATTCCAAGATCAAAGTGCCTATAACCCTCGTTTCTGACAAGAGCCTTCTACCTAGTTTATAGATAGATGCCTTCATGACAGAAGAAGTATCATTTGTCTCTCATCTCTTCTAGTAAAGCACTAAGTTCATTTGTAAGGGCTCTAGTTCCTAACTACCTCCCAAAGTGCCTACCAAAACCACCACACTGGGGATTAGGATTTCATCACCTGAGTTTGGAAGGACCCAAACATTCCACCATATAATTTTGCTTCTTTAAATGTCCATAGGAACTTCTAAAAACTATCTTTTAAATGAAAAACAGTTCTCATTTGGAGAATACTACGGGAAAGTAATACAAAACAGAAATCACTCTTAGAGTTGCAGCAATAGCAGGATTCATTGCTAAAATTCATTTTTTCATACAATAGAACTATACATTTACAGGGCAAAAATGAGATTATTCTCCCTAACTAAAAATCATAAGATGACTTACGTGAACAAGAGCATACTAGCAGGGCAGAAAGAAAGAGATAGAAGAGGTGGAAGGGACAGAAGCTGACTGAGGCAAAGGGGGCAGGAATCCCAAATTGTAGTAATGGCTCTACACCGGGTATGATGTCTTCCCCCTCAACCCCTTTTCCAAGTTCATAAATTTAGGTTAAGCAGAAGAGTAGTTCTCATATGATTAGACTCTCTTTCTTAATACATTTTGTCCTCATATTAGAACCCCTAATAGAAACAAAACAGTATGACCATTAAACAAGCAAAATAAACCTCTGGGGAATCATAAGATAGTTTCTCAGAACGTTAAAAGACATGCCTCAAAGAAGTATAAATACTCAACAAGTCAAAAATATATTTTCTCATAATCAAACCACATCTCCAAAGTTATGGGACCTGCCACTGAAATGTGGAAGAAAATACTAAAATTTTTATCTAGGAAAATATGCTAACTTATTTATGTCCTATATTTTACTAAACTTGTGAATTATATTAAATATTAGCTTTTAGCATTATTAGGTAATATTTATCACATAGATTTTTATATATGTATTTTATATTAGCTATTTCATTTATTTTTTTTTTTTGAGATTTAAATCCCTCTTATGTAGGGGCTGGGGATTTAGCTCAGTGGCATAAGCACCTGCCTTGCAAGCAGGCATTCATGAGTTCGATCCCTGGTACTAATTTTAAAAAATCCCTCTTATGTTTACTTTTCCATAATTTTAATGTATTAAGATGATTTATTATTAATTTCTTTATTCCTATGACTTAATAATGAAGGTATGTAAGGCTATCTATTTTATCTATATAAGATGTTGGTGTTTCCCGTGAATCTAAATATAAAGCAGTGCCTTTATACTGTTTTCTAAAAATAGATGTTATTATTTGTATCTAAAATGTTCCCTGAAAGTTCATGTGTTGAAGGCTTGATACCCTAATGCACCAATGTTCAGAAGTGGGGTCTAAATGAGGGTGTTATCTCATAATTGATTAATTCATCCATTGATGAATTCACAGCTGAACAGGCTATTAGGAGGTGAGGTTTTGTTAGGAGAAATAGGTCATGAACATGTACCTTTGAAGATCCATATGGGGTCCCTGATCTCTGTCTATCTCTTCTTCTCCTTCTCCTTTTCCTTCTTGCTGGCCTCCGTGAGCAGAAGGGCTTTACCCTACCACATTCTTCTGCTATAATATTTCTGCCACACCACAGTGCTAAATCTAATAGGACCAGCTGACTATGGACTGAAATCTCTGAAATCATAAGCCAAAGCAAACCACCTCTCTTCAAACTGTTGTTCTCGCTGAGCACAGTGGTGCACTCCTGTAATCCCAGCACCTGGGAGGCTGAGGCAGGAGGATTGTTGCAAGTTTGAGACCAGCCTGGGTTACCAAATGAGCCCAAGGCTAGCCTGAACTGCATAGTGAGACCCTATCTCAAAAAGACCAAAAATTAAAATAAATTGTTATTCTTTTTGCAATAATAATAGAAAGCCAACACAGAAAATTGGTACCAAGTTGTAAGGATCATTTCAGTGAGTATGCCTGACCATGACTATAAGGTTCAGATCACTTTGGAACTGGTGTGCTGGATTAAGTTTGGACAAGTTCGGAGATGCAGACTTGAGAAGTCTTCCAATGCTGTCAACTAAGCTGAACGGTCAGTTTTTGTGGGAGCTCAGAAAATTCAAGCGCTACCAACTGTAGTTGATGGGAGTTTGTCCTTACAATGCAAAATATTTTTTATCAGTCTATGACAACTTGATCCTCGCTCAGAAAGTTCTAAACTGCACAAAAACATTTCAACTCACTTTCAGCTTTAAATATCATAGGCAGAAACTCACAAAGAAATATCAACTAGAACGTGTTTTGTTTACAAACATATGCAAATAACTGTTGCTATGCAAACCTCCAAAATCCCTTTCCAAACAGTGTTTAATTTCAAGGAAAGAAAGAGGTAGCTTGGCAGCATTTCCTCCCCAGACCAAAGGGCTAGAAATGAGTACGTGGAATAAGTGAGAGGGGAATAAGGACTCAGGTTTTATAACTCTGAAACCAACTACTGTTTGAATAAAATTTTAAAATGCTTACCAATTTCCCAAAAGGCCAGGCAAAGTGACAGAGGAGGGACTTGGCTCAAGGGAGCATTAAACAGAATAAAGGGTGCTGGGAATATAGCTCAGCGGCATAAGCGCCTGCCTAGCAAGTGACAGGTCCTGAGTTCGATTCCCGGTACAAAAAACAAAACAAACAAAAGACAAAAACAAAAAAAAGGGGGACAGAAATAAAGGGGCTGTAGTGGCCCGGCCAATCAGAAAACACATTCAACAGATCCTGGTCATCTTTACCTGATCTTCCAGCAATTTGTTTTCTTCGTTGGCCACTGGGAGGGCAAATCCATCCTCCCAATGCAGCTCCGCCAGGAACTCGTTACTCATGGCAAACAGGTGGAGAACTCCAGCTAGAGAGAAAAACAAAAGTTTCTCGTCTGGCGGGCGAGACCCGAGTCTAGTTGAGGCACCCACAAGCTGCCACCAGAGCTCAGCAACCGCCTCGCGTCCTTAGTTACCCAACAGCAAGCTCTCAAGCAAATAGGCGGAACTTCCGGTTGAGAATTCCCCACTTCCTGTTGGAGGATTTTTATGGCGCTTTCCCGGTAACAGTTAACTTCTCGGTGCGGAAATTATCCGAAAAGCCGGCGGCATCAATTTTCAACCTAAAGGCTGATCGGGTCGCGCCCAACTCTCCCAAAGGGTATAGAATCTGTGTTCCCGGTGCCGGCCGAGGATCCCTAGGTCCCTAGGTCCCTAGGTGGAGCTCGCTACGCAGCTCTCCCAACTGCCTGCGGTAAAGGAGAGCTAACAAGGATAATAAACCTGTTTCTTTCCAAGTGGAGCTCCATCCAGGGGTCCTCCGGCCGGCGTCGGAACCTCAGGGTTAGGGTTTAAAGATGTGTTGGCTGGCTTGGTGGCTCACGCCTGTAATCCCAGCGCTCGGGAGGCTGAGGCCGGAGGCTCGTTGCGAGTTCGAGACCAGCCTGCGCTACAAAGTTAGCCCAAAGCCGGCCTGAACTGCATAGAGAGACCCTGTCTCAAAAAGATAAAGATGCAGACTTTTACATAGAAGTATTTTTCCTTTTCTCGAAATAGGCTGGGTAACAGAACGTACATTGATGAAAGACGGGCGCCCCCTTTTCGCCAGTTCACAAGTTTGAATTTACCTGCTTGGGCTGGGTAGGCATTTGGGTTAGTGTGTGTGTTGTGTGTCAGGCCTAGAAGGGACAAACGCCACTCTTAAGTTTCTAGATAAATTGAAACTCCCTGAGGTGAAGTGGCTAAGTAAGAATTGTGAGCATGAATTAATTTTTCGTATCTAATAACTAACACAATTTAAATGTACATAAAAATATAAAGCGATGTATAAAGAGGGCATGCATATATCACCTTGATTTAACATTCATATTTGACGTATTAATTTAACCTATCTTTTGCTGATATATAAGGTGTGATTAAAAGCTACAGTAAATGTTTAAATTGTAAAAGTTATTACAGTGAAAGACACGGTATCACTAATCCTCAAAATACTCCCCTCGCTTCAAACATAGGGTTCCCACGTCTCGGCTCTTTTTGGAGCAGTTCTGAAAGTCTTCTTTCATGTCTTTAGTTGTGATGTGTGACTGCTTTGATGTCCTGTACAGCTTCAAAACGTTTATCTTCATGGTCGTTTCGACTTCAGAGAAGAACTAGAAATCACAGTGCTGGATAACAGCACTTAGCAGTAGCATTTATAGTATTTATAATCACACCTCCTTTAAAGATGTTCACCAAACTAAACTTTCAAAATTGCTTCAGAAAATAACAAGAATGATAGGATAAGTGTTTTAGAAGTGGAGGGAGTGTTTTGAGACAGATTAATGGCAATTTGTCTTTTACTACAACTTTTTAATTTAAACACCATGTATTTTTGATCACCCCTTGAATTTTAAGGTAAATCACAGACTTTATGACATTTCATCACCAAATACTTAAGTCTGCCAGCTCAACTCCTGCCAAAAAATTCCATGTCCAATATTTCAAGGATTTTATTTCTGGAATTTAAGGATGACAGTTATATGATGTTTAATTCTACATGAAATATCCATGCATTTTCCAAATTCTACAATTCTAACTTAAAATGACACCCCACCTCATCACCACAGCATCCTACATGAAATTAGTTCTCACTCTTAAGATTCTACAAGTTCTAAAAGATAACTATTCTTGAATTCATTCGGAGTTAAACACCAACGCAGTCCTTCCCAAGAATTTATACTGTTTGGTGTGTCCTCTACTAGCGTATTTCTAAGCTATAAATATATACAGACATCAGATTTCGTCCTACAAAAGTAGAATCACGTTATAAATATTCTGCAAATTCATTTTTTTCAGGTAACAGTCGTGGCCATGTTTCCATGTTAGCACATTTACGTTACCTTTGTATTTTAATGCAGGCTTAAAATCCACCATTTCATCAGTCACTTATAACTTTTTAAACAGTGCTGCAGTTAACATGTTTAAAATACTGTATGTCATCAATTCTAGAATGTACTTATTTTCACAATACAGTATAACAACTATTTACATAGCATTTAGTTTATTTTAGCTACTATAAGTAATCTAAAGGTGATTTAAAGTATTAATCTCTACAGATTTTTATCCAAGGAGGGAATCCTAGAATATTAACTCGTGTGGTAACCAAAGCATGATAGTACCTCGTTGGCTGTCATGTGTTTGCAGAGACCAAATTGTTCATCTTGGGACTAAGTCTCTATAATGAGCCAACTCCTTATAATTCATTTCTCTCTCTTCTGTCTTTCTAATACATTTTTTTTGAACATCACTGATTCCTCTTCAAAGCTATAAAATTGGAATAAAAGTTCAGCCCAATGTTTTATAGGGTTTGTGAAAGTTCTTTGAAAGAAATATGTTTCGTAGACTGTTTGACACTATAGGAATTTAAGATTGCATAGCTTTTAATCTTATATTTAAAAAGCCTTTTTCTTTGTGAAACTTTTTAAAAAACTTGTGGAATCTTGGTGCTGTTTTATCTGGCTAATACTCTAAGTCAAAAACATTAGTACAATAGATCGTAAGTTAAAACTTCAGATATATCTGGCATCTGTAGGTATATTGAAATTAATCTCCTTTGTAGGTTATCTAGTTTTCTCCAGGGGCTACTGGACACCTAAACAAATAATATTCACACTTTTCATGTATATCCAACATGGAGGTGTCGATGTCGCTCCCGGCCGGCAGGAAGGACACACGACAAAGTCTGGCAGTGGACAACCTTTTCTTTTATTTTCTCTCCGTACAGCCTGCCCTGGGATCGCTCCCAGCCGAAGCCTCCTCTGGTCCGCTCCCCGCAGCTCCTTCCGTGCTTTGCTCCGAAGCCTCTACCGGTCCGCTCTCCGCGGCTCCTTCCGGGCTTCGCTCCAAAGCCTCTACCGGTCCGCTCTCCGCGGCTCCTTCCGGGCTTCTACTTCCCCCCAGGGGTGGCACCAGTATATATACGGATACAGTGTCCAATCATATTAAAGTAAGCAAGGCAAGCTGATTGGCTAACATATTATTGAGCGGGTTGTTTACGCGGTAAGCAGGAAACTAACGTGCTCGATGGGAGGGGTAATCTAACTCAGGCTTTGCTCTTTACCACAGGCCGCATGATCGCTATATGCGGTGGCTCGGCAATGTGGTGGCTCCCAACATCTCCCCCTTTTTTATTTTAAATAAGTCTACGCATCGCAGCCCGTCCTGAATTGAGTGTAGAGGCCTATGCCCTGATAGGAGGGCCACCAAGGGCTCTCGGCGTCGGCCCGGGTCGGCCGTCCCCGAGTCTGCCGAGGCCCCGAGGCCCTCGTCCTTTTTCCAGGCCCAGGAAGGAACCGGACGGAACCTGGATGCACACAGGCATACACTCATGTCGCTCCGCATGATCCCCCCGGGGCGACATTTGGTTTGGGCGGAACCTAGTAATTCAGCGGCTTTCGTGCGGTATGGGGTAGGGCCTGTCTTAGGTTGAGTCATGCTGGGGAGGCATGCTCTTACCCGTCATTGACTCATCTACCCTGCTATATCATAATTTTTTAGAGGAGGAGTGTGGGAAGCTCACCGTCCCTAGACTCGGTTGTAGGCTAGGCGAGCGAGCCATGCATATGCCTGAGGATCTTCTTGTCCATTTCGGGCTACCGCTATTTCTATTCATCTTGTTGGTTGGTCTGTGATGGATCTCCGGTAGGGCAGGTCTGATCTTCAGTCGAGGGCTTTGTCACCCGTGTCAGTCTCTCCGGTACCCACAGTGGTTCTCGTCCCGATTCCTGCAGAAAAACACAAACCGCGCCTCGGTTCCAGCTGATTACCGGATCCGGGCCCATCCATTGTCATGCCATAGATAACCGCGCCTTTGGAGGCAGGCCTTGGCTTACTCCCCCTTTTTGTTTTTTATTTTTTATTTTTTATTTTTATCTTTTTCATTTTTTTTTTTTTTTTATTGGTACCAGGGATCGAACTGGCGATTGCCTGCTTACAAGGCAGGCGCTTATGCCGCTAAGCTAAATCCCCAGCTCCCATTTCCTCGACCGGCGTTTTTCTCAGCCTGCTCGGCAGAGAACTCTGTGTACCAGGCTCGCCAATCCAGGTAACTACCCGAGGGCAGACACGCCTTTGCCAGCTGAATCCAGTCCGCAGGGGTGAGGGGCCCAGAAGACAGGTTCTCCAGCATGGCAATGGTGTAAGGCGCAGTCGGCCCAAAGGTTGTAACTGCATTTTTAAGTTCTCTAATCTGCTTTATCTCAAAAGGCTCCCATGCATTACGTCCCTGGCCCATAGCTACTTGTACAGGAAATATCCCGTAGGGGCCACTATCTATCCCAGGTGGTGGATGTACCTCATGAGACAAACGTCCCCCCTGCCAAAGCCGCCTGTAAAAATACCGACCCGCCGGCGGCGGAGCATAAGACGGCGGCCGTGATTGGGCGGAAAATGGGGGCTTGTGCATCACTTCCTGTTCTGGCGAAAGGGGAGGGAGCTCCCACGCGGCCGCCTCGTGGCGAGGGATCGCTTCCGGGAACAGCTCCCAAGGTGGGGCGGAAGGCTTCGCCTCCCTCTCGCGCCAGGGGGCGCTCAGGAGCTCTCTACTCCTCCGCAGACCAAGTTGAGCGGAGCGCAATTCTTGGCATCTAGGCTCCTTGGTCTCATCGTTGTCTAAGCCTTCCTCGTTCTCGGAGTCAGACGACTCCGAGGCCTGAGCCCCGTCTTCCTCCTTTATATCTTTGTCTCCTTTGACGGACCCCTCCCGGGAGCTCCCTGACTGGGCCTGTTCGAATGCCCTACGCACTTTAATGAGCTCTTGAGAACCTTCCCTGCAACCACCCTCGCTCTTCAAGCATGCATATATCATTTCCCACAGTGGCCGAGCGAAGACCGAAGCCCCGCCCTCCCTTTCCGCTAGAGAAAGATCCCTGCCCAACTTCTCCCACGAGAGCAGGTTTAAGTGCCCTGTGGGCAAGAACCAGGGAGCGAAACTATCAATCTCCTCAAAAAAGCTCTCCAGCGTTTTGCGTCCCACCTTGAGGTCTCTGGACTTTAAGAGCTTCCGGAGGACCTGTACCAAGGGCTGGGTGTCGTTACTCGGTACATTACCCATATTTAATATGTTACTCACCGCGTGAGGCCCAAAAATCCGCCACTTACGCGTGAGCCTGAGGGGAGTCTAAAAACCCTGTAGGTGCGCGCCACCCAGGGCCCAGGTTTATCCCCTGCTCACCTGTCTCGCAGTGCTGTATCAAGGAACGTTGTCCACTACCACGTCTCGGGGGTGATCAGTTGTTCCCCGTGCAGGCCACCAAATGTCGATGTCGCTCCCGGCCGGCAGGAAGGACACACGACAAAGTCTGGCAGTGGACAACCTTTTCTTTTATTTTCTCTCCGTACAGCCTGCCCTGGGATCGCTCCCAGCCGAAGCCTCCTCTGGTCCGCTCCCCGCGGCTCCTTCCGTGCTTCGCTCCGAAGCCTCTACCGGTCCGCTCTCCGCGGCTCCTTCCGGGCTTCGCTCCGAAGCCTCTACCGGTCCGCTCTCCGCGGCTCCTTCCGGGCTTCTACTTCCCCCCAGGGGTGGCACCAGTATATATACGGATACAGTGTCCAATCATATTAAAGTAAGCAAGGCAAGCTGATTGGCTAACATATTATTGAGCGGGTTGTTTACGCGGTAAGCAGGAAACTAACGTGCTCGATGGGAGGGGTAATCTAACTCAGGCTTTGCTCTTTACCACAGGCCGCATGATCGCTATATGCGGCGGCTCGGCAATGTGGTGGCTCCCAACATGGAGGCTTTACCAAATCATAATTTTTAACTAAAATTAGTGATGAGTTGAAATAAATGTATCCAGCTCTCCACAGTTATCTCTGGTACTAGAAAAATATCTAAGAACAATTGATCCTACTAATTGGCAAATATGTTTTGCTAACATGGAGAGAAAAATATGAATAGAATATCAGAATCATTTATACAAATAAATATTATGAAAAGATTTTATCTTTTGTTATATCGTTACAAGTGTTCACTTAACACTTCCCTAAAGGCCATAAGTTTCTGCAATTTAAATGAATTTGTCTTATACATTAAAGATCACTTGGGTGGCTCAGTGCAATTTAGTCACAATAAAATTCCTTCAAGACTGGGTATAGTTTTTTTAAAAGAGGATTTGAACAAATCCTCTTTTGGCTGTTGTGTTTGCTGGAGTGATAGATTTTTGAGTCTCCATAGTGAAAAGTCTGTATTGCAAAAGGTCATCCCAGCCGCTTTTCTCAGAACCTCACCCCTCTCAGCTTGGGCAGTTTTGTAACACAGTGCTTTCCAGTGAGACATTTCCCATTAATGCATTTGCCATCACCTCGGAGAACAGATTTCTGGCAGTTCCACTGGCACCAAAATATCCGTGACAGCCAATGAGCCCAAGAGCTGTGTTCTTGGTACTCTGTTTCAGCTTCACAGCTAGTGACAGCTCTTTCCGTATTCTTCAGAATTTTCCTCACTTCTTAATAGCAAACTTTTTATTCCAATCCTATGATAATTAACTTTTTATTGGTTTTGTTTCTACTTTTTTTGTTCGTTTCTGTTTTCATTTTCAGACATCTCAGTGTGTTGCCCAGCACAGCTCTCCTTGAACTCCTGGGCTCAGTAATCCTCCTGCTTCCACCGCTCAAGCAGCTGAGTTGAACTTTCCTTATTAAATCATTGTGTGGTTTCTCTCCTGATTGGGCTCAGGGTGTTATAAGTACATACTTATTTAATGTAAGTTGTTTTTCTTCATTTAATATGGTTTGTTTGGTGCTCATCTATGTATATTGTGTTATGTACCAAGAGTTTATTTTTATTGTTTGCATTTGGGAGCAATCATGAATAAAGCTATTATAAATATGTTTATACAAGTCTTCCAAAACACTTTTTATTTTGGGTTAATTTTGGACCTCCATAAAAGTTGTAAAGATAGTACGGTGTCTGTGTATTCCTTGCCTAGCTTCCATTTCCCCTAAGGTTAACTCCACATTATCATAGAGCATAGGTCAAAGGAGTCTATGTTGATATATTTTTATAAAATAAGCTCCAGATTTCCCGGTTCCTTCCTGACTGTTTTTCTATCCTAGGATCCACTCCAGCATACCACTTTACATTTTGTTCTTATGTCTCCTTCATCTCCCTTGGTCTGTGGCAAATTCTGAGATTTTCCTTATCTTTTACTTACCTTGATACCACTGATAAATACCAGTCTTGTGTTGTGTAAAATGTCCAGTTTGTTTTTGTCTAATCATATTTGCCTCATGGTTTGGCGGGAGTTGAGGGGTTGGGGAAAGAAAACAGAGGGGAAGTGACTGTTGTAGTTTATATCTAAAATTTTCACCAAAACTTCATGTGCTCATAGGTGGGGTTTTGGAGATGTAATTGGATCATGAATGTGTAATCCTCACCCCTGGATTAGTCCAATGATGGGTTTATAGCTGGGTGTGATGTTATGAGGTGAAGCCTGGTGGGAAGAGGTATTCTGTGGCCTGGCAAGAGATAGACAGATAAATAGATAGATAGATAGATAGATAGATAGATAGAGTTCACCAAAGCTGGGACATTTTCCTTTCTTGATGCTCTGTTCTATATTATTCATCAGGAGTACATTATTCTTCAGTTTATCTACAAGCTCAGAGGAACTTGAGCAATTATACCCAAACAACGCTCCGCATTAGTAATCATGTTTATATTTTCTTGTTTATTTATTTTCTATCTTTCTATCAGACATCTCACTGTGTTGCCCAGCACAGCTCTACTTGAACTCCTGGCTCAGTGAATACTGGGCTCAGTGAAAGGTTTTTTTTTTATCTTCTTTCTATCTTAATTTTCGACATTAAGATGCATAAGAATAGGGTTCACCCTCTACTGAGAAACTACAGGGTTCCTACAACCTGAAAAGTACTCAGTTAAAATCCATTGAGAGAGTAAATATAGAAATTGAGTTTTAAATTTTGTACACTTGTATCTGTAAATCTTTTCACTGATGACCTTTAAGTTTTATGCTACACTCAGGAAGACCTTTCACAAAAAACTACAAAAATGGCCTCCAATAATTTTTTCATCATTTATGTTATGGATTGAGAACTGGTGGTCAACTTAATGCCAGCTGGATTACATCAGCATGGTATTGAACGAAGATGCTCCACCTGAGGAGGGTTGCCAGGATAAATAGGTAGAGAAGAAGGGAGGTGTTGAGAATTGAGGCGTTAAGGAGGCATTGTGGGTTCTCCCACGAGTTACTGTCTGAGCTGTTGGTTCTCCTGGAGAAGCTTTGGTGCTCACATCGAGCATTGTTTCCTGGCTCTGGAGGGGAAGACATGTGCTGCTTGGTCTCCAGGATGAACTCGTCAAGCTGGCTTCCTGACAGGTACCCGACTGTGCTTGTTGGAGGAGGAGCTCGGGCCTCCGTGTTGCTGAGGACAGCTATGGTGCCTTTCAGGACAGCCCTGGTCTTTGTTGTGAGTGTGACTTCTCAGCTCCAGTGTAGAACCCTCATCCCACTAGCACAGCTCCTTCATCCTGCTGGCATAGACTTTCCAGCTTCCACC